ATCGTAAGGACAAAGATCACCACGCATACAATACCCTTTTTCTAAAAACCGTTAAACATTATATTAATAATCAACTTCATATCAGAGAATATATTGTCATTCATTATTGATGATTGTTTATTATATTTTTTAAAAATCATAAATTAATTTCCATACCATCAAAATCACGGCAACGTCTTTTAGATGGAAATGGTCCAGTTTGATTATTTGGAATATTCGAAGCAACAGCCACAACACTTTGAATAGATTGACTTGTAGTGATAATCTCATATCTATGTCTCCATGATTACTATCCTGAGTTGGAGTACCACCGGGACTGGCATCTATGCGGTCTAATCTGCTCACTTCATTAATTCTCTCTGACCTGTCCACTTTTTTCCGATCCGGGGATCTAGACCGTGATCTAGACCGCAATGGTGTAGGCGATCTATTTCGAAACCTTGTTCTAATGATCCCTGTCACTAACAACTCGTATTCGTAACGGAGATGGACTCCGACTTCGACTACGTCTAACATTAAATTGATATTATTAAAAATTTTTGTCTAATAATAACTATAAAAGTACAAGAGCAAAAGTTGTTTGAAATTTAAATATGTTTCACTAAATAAATATTAAAAATAAACCTTCTATCATGTCGTCTAACTGTTGACGGAGGTGATTTATTCTCCAGGGCCTACTTCGATCTCGTTCCCGGTCACGACGAAGGTGTTCTCTACTCCTTGACCTACGGCGGTCCCTCTCCCACGATCTTGATCGTGACCTTGATCGTGATCGAACTCGACCTCTGTGTAATTGATTTAATGATTGATTAATGAATTAAAGTCACCGTTAATTGACAATTGAATTATATGAGACAATTACGATAGTGATAAAAAAAACATTTTTTCAAATTAAATTAACAAATAGTTGAAATAATTTCAAAACAAAAAATATTTATGGCTAGTTGATTATAAAAATTTTGAAATAAAATCAACAGAAACAATGAAGTTTAAAGTAAAGAATAAATAATAACTCTTATGAATTATTTATGAGAATTAAATTGAAAAGTTATATAATTGATGATTTTACAATCAATTAAAACTTACCGACTCCTTGGTCTTTTATCTTTATCATCCTTCTCTGATTCAGATTTCCGAGATTCTCTTTTAGTTACTGGCACAACCGTTGAGCCATTTACTTGTACTGATAATGCTGGATTTGTAATCGGAGGTAATTGAGACATGATTGGATCTACTAGTTTCTCTGATGGAATTGGTTGAGATGTTGGATTTTCTGTAGTAGGTAGATTTTCTTCCTGCGTCGTCACCATTTTCGAAGGTAAAACATACTTTGAGTTTCTAATGTTTTAAACAATAAATCCACAAATTTTTGGTTTCTACAATAAACAATATAATCAGTTATTAGTCAGAATATTTGACTTTAACGAGAATTTTGAATTGTTATTAAAATCGTCATAGTGAATACTTTCTAAAGACTAATACTAAGGTTCTAATAACAGCTATTATTTGGGACATCTATTCAGTAATTATATATGAATAGAATATTTATGATATTGGCGGTCAGTATACTAAGTATACTTATTGTAAAATTTATTTGCAAAGGTCTCTATAATAAATTGAACATTCTATAGCACTAGCACTTTACCGTGTTGTAAAAATACGTCCAGCTGTTCAACCATTCCTCCTCTTACTCTTCTAGAGTTTGTCTTTCTTAACCAATGCGTAAACATACTTGGCCAATGCTGCTGGGTCAGCATCACACCTGTGGATTTTTTTTTGGATTAATATAAAACAATAAATAACAGGTTAGGATTATTTTATTTGTAATATCTTCAGGTAAATAGAGAATAATTGAATCTTATTATGAAAAACGTGTAGAGAAGGTGAGTAAAGAGATCGATTGGTGATTCGGTGTAGTTTTGAGATTGGAATGGAGAAGCGTGACAGAGTTTATCATCAGAAAGAAAATATAACCCATGAAAAATAAGAAGGGTGTCGAAAGTAGATAAGATAATAAGTTATAATTGATTAAATATTAGAGGAAGGTATGAATTAAAAGTATGGATAAATAAAATACCACACGCAAAGGCACATGTATGAACCATTTACATTATCAACTCTAAACGCACACAAGCCAAAATATCAGACAAGCTGGCCTACTTACAGAGGCTCCAAAACTTCAGTTAGCCAAGCCTTGAACTGATCTGGATTTTCTATTATCATTTTTGACATACACTCGTTGAAAAGCACATTAAAATAATTAATTAAACGTTTTCTTAACAAGTTTTATGGGCGGGAATAAGTACTCTTCTAAGTGAAGATAGTCGCCATTCTGAAAAACTTACACACCAATACATACTTCATATCACACACATGCAATTGATTGCTTCTAGAATGTGCCGCTAACGTCGACACTGTTTGCGACCTCTTGCCGCGAAATCGCTTTAAATTGCTTTCTAGTCTAAATACACTCTGATATCAAGTGATATTATATCAGTTTTTCTTTATTACATGTAATAATTAAAAGAAAAAAAGCGAAAAATCTATTAATACGATATGTATGTATTTTTAATTTAAAACTCTATTCATAAAGAAATGGAATATTTCAATGTTATATTTTTGAAATGATAATATAAAGTGTCATTGGAATCACATACCTCATGATATTTTCGAGTTTACAATATTTTTAGAATTGGTCGGTTTTTAAATGTTATATACATTTATTTATATATACATAATTATCCATTATTTTTAAATTATAATAAAATGTAAAATACTTACTCTAAACTACGGAATGGCTGAAAAGATTACATGAAATTAATTTTAGTTTGTACATCAAAACACAGTATTATTACTAATTACCAGCAAAAAATTTGAGTAAATAATAAATTACTCATACTTTTTATTTTAAAATTACAATTTATTTTTCACTTAATTACCAATTATTAATTATCAATTAAAATTAGTGGTTAAATAATTAGTCAGGTGTATGATTTATGAACATATATTTATATTACAATTTAATTTATTTTGTAATACTCACACTCATGTAATCATAGAGCTCAATATATTTCACATATTTTTTTTTGTTTTGTTTATTATATTATGGATTTTTTATTTTCATTTTTATATGCAATACATTTGTATACTTGAGCTGCACTTCAGTAAAAATAATTTCATCCAAGCGATAATTAATAATTCCCCAAATTTTATTTGTAAATGGGGTAATATTAAAATATCTTCTTATATGTTTTCATTATAAAGAAACGATACTTTTATACTTAATCTACATTTCATTCATGTGCACAATCTATATATATTTGACAAATGGCGAGTCTTGTTCTACAATTTTTAAATGCTTTTAAGGGCCGTTTTGTTTCGTATTTTTTATTTATTTTTTTTTTTAATTTCATTTTTTTTATCGAAGATTAATATTTTGTTGCTAATTTTCGTTCAATTGATTTTCGTGTATTATATCAATACATCAGTGAAATAATCGACCGATTTCTTTGCCTTACTATCTCTCTTTAATTAGTAATTTTATTGTATTTCTCTCGGCAATATCAAACAAACAAGTAGACATACCATCATAATTAAACAATTATTTTGTCTCTTGTTTATTTATTTTTTGCTGAGAACCGTTAATCCTATCATAAAGTAAGCCGTTACAATATATTAGGTACACTTAGGTATCGATAGTTTTTTTTTATACTTATAAGCTCATTATAGTTATGGAAACGTTCTCCCTGTATCGACTGACATTTTTTAATATCGTTCATAACAATTATAATGTCAATCGATATTTCATGCGATATTTAAATGATCACAACTTACTTCCTACGGACTTTGACTAGTACATATGCATTTAGTGATGGAAGAAAAAAAAATATATATAAAGCAGTGCTATGCTTTATAACAAAAAAAAGTATTGGATTATAAATAAAAGAGATCGTCAAAATAATATGGATGAATAAATTAAAAATATTAATCATTTGATTTGGACTTTTAGCTGGTATTCATAAGTTACATATGTGTGTTTTCAGTCTTCTTTCTTTAAAAATGAAAAATCGAACAATTATTAATTTCAGAAATTATTTAATCATTGATTAAGAACTTTATGAAATGGTAATTAATTTACTGCAGTCCTTAATATTATATTTGTTTTTATAATTTATGCATAATTATAATTTCCACACAATCTACAATTATGACTATTTAAAAATTAAAAACAAATAATTACAAATTTGCCACAGCAATAACAGAAAATAAATTGCTAATTAGTTGTGGTCTAAACGAAAATGAATTTACAAGAACAAATTAGTATAATATCGAATTTATATTATCATTATAAATTTCAATCTTATTGATTTTAAATAATTTTTTGTTTTGTTAAAGTTTAAATTTTTATTTAAACTCTAACAAGAGTGCGTTAAATTATTTTTTTGTCAAACAATGTAGCTTTGTATATGTACATTTCTCTATTTGTTTTTTTGTTTTAAATTTATTTTTGATGTATGATATTTGTAATATAAGATCGCAGAGTTCATATGTATGAACTATTCATCAACAGAACCCTGGTTTACTCGATGTATAAATAACGGTAATAAAAAATATTGAATGCTTGATCCTATCTAAAACTTGTACATTTAATATGTCAGTGTTATAAACTATCTCTAACTTTACCCTAATTAGGAATATTATTTCTTAAATAAATTTTTTTCTTCAATTATTGTTGACAATTAATAGGGCGGAATTAATTATATATGTCGAACCGCGAGTTTGTCCAAGGACGGGCGAATAAGGATTAACTTTCTTCAGGTATATATTGTCATACCTTTCAATTTATCGTTTTATTTTTTTATTCTATTTCGCCTCAATGCTACTTCAATAAAAGTGATGTCGTTGATCGAAATAAAATTTCTCAAGTTATTTTAATTACTCATACGTGTCTTTAGACCAGTATTTCAAGACAGCATGATTCATACATGGTCCCATTTTTTTTATCGAATGCATTTCGACTAGATGGTTTTCCTTTAATTTATTTTATTATATTAACTTGCAATAATGTCGGAAATACTTTGCTTTAACTATAGTGTCATTTGTTTTCAAAGGCTTTACGTAATTCTCGTAACTAATTTTATATCTTTTATCACACAAACTTCCACTTTTTTAATTCATTGCAGTGAGTAAAAATCTTTCTTGTTTTATATAAAATAATTTATGAAATTAATTTATAACCAGTAGGCCTATATTTCCTCACACGATTTCTTCATAGTATCCGTTCATGTATTGCACGGAATTATTACTTACAAAGCACTGGCACTCAGTTAGCTCATTTTCATTCGCTTTGGTTGATTCGTATTTGACGTATCTAAAATTATTAATCATCAAAAGTTATTCAAGTTAATTCTTTTAGTTAATGATAAACATTTGTAATTGATTGACACATACCTCCATTCGATGTTGTACCAAAATTATTAATCAACTGACAACTTTGATTCTTCTGAAAAATATCAAAAATATTGCACTTTAAATTCAACAACTAATTATTTAATTATAATAAACTACTTACATCACCCATTACAGCAATCGGCGTTGTACCAGTTGCAAGAGCCACTGATGTTCAATAAGATAAAACATATATTCATCATATAATAATCGAATAAGGTGAAAAGATCCAAAACTCGCAGCACTTCTCAAGGTTTAAATCGCGGATTACCATTGAGCTAAAAAAAACATTACATGTTATCATCAGATTAGGAAACAATAACTAAATGACGAAAGGAATGTAGAAATTATCAGTTTTTATATTGTATCTACGATACATTAAAAAAAATCGTTTTTTTATTCAATGCCATTTAAAATTTATGTAATAGTTTATGCAAAGCTTACATAATCATATAATTTATTATTGATTATTACGTGCAAACTTATTAACTAATAAATTACCTGTAAAATGACCACTTGAGTAAGAATTGTCGCGCAGCTTTAGCAAATGTTGGTTTCCCTTCATAAGGTTTTAATACTTGTGTCACAACTCCTTTTAACCATATTGCCCACTGTTCTAATGAATTTTGTTGCTGTAAAGTTACTTTAAAATCGGCTTCTAGTCGTTGAACTACTGCATAATCACATTGACAAACCCATGAAGCCTATAAGATCAAGTCAATTGAATATTTATCCATCAATTAATAATTGCTCTAATTAAATTAAATTATATTAATTACAAATATGATTATTTACCTGCTCTTGGACATTATGAAAGTCAACACGATTTAAATCTGCTAACATTTGATTTATTTGACTAGAGTTTTGAAGAACAGCTCGTGCAGCCTGAGCAAGATGATTCAATGATGTATATCGACGAAGAGTTTGAGCGAAAGCTGACACAGCCGTTAACTATAATAAAAAAATAAATATCGTTTAATAGAAAGAAAAAAGGAATAATTATTGTGTACAGTTGAAGGATATAATACTTTAATCTGCATCATCTCTTCTGGACAGTCATTCATTGCGGTAGTTAGCCATGATTCCAATCCTTTTGCAAATTTCTAATTGATTGAGTTAGTGTACCTACAAAAAAGAATTTTTTTTTATTAATTGAAATAAAAAATAATTCAAAAATTTTCATTTATTATATTGTGTAATACTCACTTGGTATAGGTCGAAGAACATCTGGCATTAATACTTCAACGAGATTTTGATAAAATGTGTAATCAACGGTTTTAATAAAATCTTGTACTTCACCACATTTGCACATTTGATATAATTTAGTTCTGAAAATAAAAACGTAAAACAATTAATTATTTATAAATTAATGATTCAATTAAAATCATCTTTTATTTAAATCTTACTTAGATAAGTATTTTTCTTCTTCACACTCATCATTATTATTGTCCTGACTCCGCCAAAATTCACGCCACAGACTTTCAACTGTAGTAAATTCGAAATTTAATACAGCATCAAGGAAAGCTTCGCAATGTTCACGATAAATACTTCGAAAAGTATCAATATCCTCTAGGGTACAATCTTCTGGGAGGGAAGAACCATGACCAACTATTATCTCTGGAAAATCAGGAATAGCACTGCTTCCTTCACCAAGATACTGATGGTACTGCGAAGATGATGTATTGGAAGAAAGATTTGCATTCCCATGAGAATTATTTTCATATGATGATTCTTGTTTCTGGCAGCTAACGAATTTGAATCTTTTCGTTTGATTAGTTGTGCCTTGAGGCGGTCGTGATGATCCATCTTCATTTAGCATTACCAGGGGTGAATTAGGTTTTACTCGGATTCCATAGTAATGGTATTTAGAATTTCCTCTAAATTAAAACATTCAATATAACAATGATAATAATAACAGAAATAAAACCAAATTTTTTTTCCATTAGGATCTATATGAAAAAGTAGTACGGTGATCAACTTACCGTGTTCCTAAACGCCGTGTTCGCAATCCTAGAAATACTGAGCGTATCAATTTACCAAAACTTGCTGCATTTACTGGATCTAATTTGTTATCTGAGCAGTGGCGTAAATAGTGATTGTAAAGTGTAGATCTTGGTAAAGAGACACCGTCAGCAGTCTCGTAATTTTCTAAAAGCCATTGTACCTATTCCAAGGGAAATTGAATTATTTACATTTCTCTACTATTCTAATATAATTAAAACAGTGCACTTTATAATTTAAACAAGATGTGTTTACATGTAAGATAATTCAACAGTTAAACCTTTTTAGGTATCTCTATTAAATGAGAAACAATCGAACATTATCTTTTCGTTAGTCTTTTTAAAATAAAAAATTAAAAAAAAATTTATACCCAAAAGGACTAAATTTTGAATTCTTATTTTTACATATAAAATACATTTTTCTTTTGATGTACAAAATAATGTTATAATTCTGACAACTTAAGCTTGATTACTATGCTTTGCCTTTTGAATATTATTATTGAAGCAAGCGTACAAGAAAAGCATCTCAAGTAGTCAAAAGACAATTATAGAATTATTATAAAACCATGCAATTATATGAAATATAATAATAATAAGAAAATAGCTAACAAATGGGGAGTCGATATGGCTTACGGTGGCCTGGGAGACCCTAGTGGCATGCGTCATGTTCGCCGCGGATGCAGCCTCTTCTACGCTGATAGTAGCGCCTCCCGCATTACCGCTGATCAAGTATGCCCCTCCACCCCCGCTAACCACAGCTTCCTATCAAACAGCCCCATTTCCGTATTTTTGTTAATGTTCCCAATTATAATTGCTTTACAATAGTTATTTTTTTTAATAATAAAATCATCCTCTCCGTTACACAACACACTACAGGACACTTTGACAAGCGACCAAACTAATGGAGCACTTTCATTCCATTTTATACGTGAAGATCTTGAATTTTTTTGTGTGGAGCAATTGGAGAGGAAAATGTTTTAAAGTTCTGATATGTAACATAATTAGGTAGATTAGATCAAATAATTATAGCAACAAAATTCCAATAGCTTACCGCGCCTTCGGTTTGTGGACTAGCACGAGCAGCAGCAGATATGAGTGCGTGAGTCGTTGGATCACCATCGACAACGCTTTGTTGTATCAGGTACGTACCGTTGCCTTGGGTCAAGAGTTGTCCAGTTGTAGTATTGGAACCTTGCCCTGAGACCTAAAATATTGATAATTTTATGAGAAAAAAATGACAGAAATGATTAATATTTTTAATGATTTATCAATGTTACCTGTGCATATGTTACCGGTGTCGTCGCCGGCGTGTAATACTGACTTGAGGCGGGAGTGTACATGGCTCCCGCCTCGCCGACAGCATACACAGGATATGTCCTGAAATGAAATAAATCATAGCTTGATCTAAAAGCTGTATAATCCTGCTTTTGAATAAAACAATACTTACATCTGCCCATTTGTGAGATTATAAGTTGAACCATCGCCCTCAACATACTGCACATAAGTTGGGTGTGATACTGATTCGGAACCCACTGCCTCGCCGTCGCCAGACACTGAAAATCACTCGAAAGTATTAGATATTTATTTATAAATATTTTTTACATTAAAAGCCAATGCTAATGTATTCTAATACAGCTTATTGATTATCACATAATTATACTTAATAATTATTTGCCTAAATCGTTTATTAATCGTTGCAGAATATGAAAGACTGATCAGTATTAAAGATAATCATGCAGATTTTGATTCAGCCTCACCTACAGCCGTTGTGAGAGACGTGTAGGATGGTGAATCGCCGGTGCCTAGTGTAGTCAGTGAAGAAGTAGATAGTTGGTGCAAGATTTTTGTTCAGCAGCATGGAAAGGGTTAATCAAATATCTACTCAAACACTATTTGCATTTCGACAACGTCATACTTACTTTCTACAATCGTTAATATAAAGAATAAACAATCGACAATAGAAAGTACGTAATTATTTCAATAATAAAACTATCAAAGCTTGTCTATAGGAAAATAATTTGACAGTTTCAATAAAAGGGAACTTTAAGTGAGAAATTCACGTCACACTATTTGTGTAAAAGAAAAATAATAGACTGAATATTGTATAGCTATTACGAGAAAGTTTTCAATGTTAGCTACTAAACTTTTAGTATTAACAATACCTGTGACGGTAATATAATGCGGTGAACCACTAACAATTGTTCCTGCAGATGTAGACGCTCCGTCTGAGTCAATGAGAGTATGTTGACCAGAGTGTCCAGTATTCACAACAACTTGAGCAGTCACGTGTGCTGGAGTTCCTGAAGAACCATTCGATGAATCAGCAGCTGTTTCCAACGGGTCTTGGACAACCAACTGAAAAAAATGTTCATTTAATAATTTTACTATTCTTTATTTTCTCAACTATATTCTGCCAAGTATTAACTAATCTAAAAATACTCGTAACTATGCGTATATACGAAATGTAAAGGGACAGATGGTAGGCTCTTATCAAGTTATTTTTACACCGGTTTAAGTCTATTTTAGATAACAATTATTGATTCATTTTATATCTTTATTTCTATTTTATCTACAGAACTGTGGTGCTGAGAAAGCTGTTGAATGATAGGAATGGTTTTTCATTTGTTGAAGAATGGCAAGGTATACAATCAACTGGTCTCAGTAATAAAATACAGACCTGGATGGGTTGGAGATTATTGGTACTCGTTGGATCAGAGCTAGTAACCACGGTAATGAGTTGTTGACCTCTTGAAGTCTGATTCTGTACTATGCTGCCAGAACTATTGGTACTGGAAGTGGTCACGACGACGATGTTTGGCTTAGTTTCCACCTCTACAACAGCGGAGTTTCCCCCGCCATGACCAGCTCCCGTGGATGCTGCTAGAGCGTACTGGGCTCCAGTTGTAGTCATGGCAATCACTCCCTCTCGTCTGTCCGCACCCACGATATTGCAGCCGCCTCCTCGTTTCTGGATAGACGACTCTGTAACACAGGTAAAAGCAATGAAGTTGAATCAAGAGTTCCACCTCCATTGTGCCATGATCACGCCAATCCTAAACATCCCCATCATCTAAAATGTGGATGATAGAACCTAGAAGCCAGTCGTATCCATGGCAAAAGCTCCCTCGTATTCAAAAGCTTCCAAGGAATCACAGAAAAATGCTTCCGCATCAATGGCTTTCTTACTAATGTCTAACTTTTTGTATATAAATCTTTTATTATATTTTTCTAATTATTGCTTCAATTATTTGAATCAATATATTTATAAACTCATTGTAATGTCTTCACTCAAGCTCATTAGTTATTATAAGGAAAGTAAAATTTACTAGAAGCTTTTTGAATTAATTCTTCTCACGAATAACTTCAATTAATCTTGCCAATTATATCAAAAAAAAAACCTGAGAATAATACAACTGATAACTTTCAAGAATTTATGCTCCTATAAATAGGTTAAAACAAAATATTTCAAATAATAAAGTAAATATTATAAATATAGTATGTAATTTACAAGTACTTTGCAAGTTTTAATAATAAATATATCCATCCTAGTTTATAGAGTATTAACGTACAATGTTATAAAATTTTCAAACTAAGTTAGATGTATAGTTTCATCATAACGTAATTTTATTTTATCCATCAGGATTCAGTTAAAATTCGTCAAGTTGCAGTAGAAATAATAGAAGAGAGTAATAAGTGGATTTTAAATTCATATTTTACTGGCTTTAAAGTACTTCTACTTCATTCCTAAGTTACTTCAACTCAACACTAGTAATTGGAGTGTTAAAGGACTTATTAGAGTCAAGGGCAATTATTTATAGAACTTATAACCATTTTTATTCTTTATGAGCCATTAATTATGATACAAAAAAGGCTTGAATCGATTAATAATTTTTAATAATTAATCATAGAATAGAATAAAAATGTTATTTTTAGCAAAAGTAATATATACTATCTAGTTAATGAAGTACACTATGCACAACCTAATTAGATATCAATGATAAAATGTGAATACATTAATCCCATTCTGCGTGAATTAAGTAAAAATTTATTTTAGTATATTTTGTATTTTAATTGAACATTATGGTAAAAGATTAAGTATGTAATTAATTCCAAATTCAGGAACTATACATTCATAACAACTAACACAATTCGGATAGAATGAAGAGAAATGATATCAGTGATTAATATCAAGTGATAGAAATGTAGCACTACTATGATCAATAGTATTTACATTCAAACGATCTTGTAATGCAGGTGTACATGGATAGGTATTTAATAATCCAAAGATCAAAGACAAATCTTAGGACAAATTGAAAATGATACACGTCACATTTCATTATAATTGGTACAAAGCAAACGATACATCTGACCTCGTGTACCTTTTGGAACGGCAGGTACCAAACAAGTTTATAGGGGTAAATGCAAGGGGAAGAATGAAATGAAACACATGCGTGACTAGGTACGTCAAGGGAGAATGAGTAATCCTAGGTAGAATATATGCTTGTTCGTAAGAGCAATTAGATGGTATTACTGCTAACTACTCAATGTGCTTATTTCAGTGATCCTCTGCTTTTATTATAATAGAGATGGATACAGTCGCCGAGAAGATTAAAATGAAAAATTCAAAAAAAAAATTAAAGACCTATTTATATGGATCACATTGATGGATGAACAAATAATTAAATTCTAGCTTTGAGTTGGTATATTACTATTCAACAATAACGTCTTTCGATCACCAGGAGTATTCATCTTAGAAAAGCAACCTTAAGAGTCCGAAGAAAACTTGATGCTAAGGGTGTTGCTAGGGTAACAACTAACACCTGTATCAGGAAGAACACAGAGGATCAAGGTGAGCTACTCTACTCTTCAGGTATCATCCACTAGGTAAATTGAATTCACTATAAAAAGTCTGGAACAAAAATTAATGCGTTTACGAAACAATGCACAACGGGGTTTGAAGTTTTATGTTTGTTCATTTATTAAATACGAATAATAATAATTGGAGAACCTGATATGGAATTGAATCTTCATTCAGCAGACAACAGTGCTAATAACGATGGGATGTTCTTTTCACCCTCTGGCACTTCTCTGCTTCTATTTCATCAGCTCAAATTTCTTTCTGTATCATACGTTGAAAATACACTTGATTAGTCAACTGGAAAATATCACAAATACATTTTTTACAAATATCTAGCACTTGTTAACTGTCTTCTCACAATCACTATTGATTTTACTGAATATGCCACATTACTTCCATTGTGATATTTATTTTTAAACAACATTCAAGCTATTAGAGCAATTTTTAAACGATCAGAAATGACAGATACTTTACTGAAAGTACAAGACAAACTAAACGTCATGAAAAACTGCATAGTCAAAAAGAATGTTCATGTTGCACCTGGTCTGTTATGCATGGCTGGTGCCTGGTAGTACACCCTGACGTTCGTCTTTTTTGTCCCCCCGTTATTTCACTACTTCCTGATACCATTCCATCCCCTATCATTAACAAATGGTAAAATACAGCTTGTGTTTAACGTTGTTTCAACCGTTTGAATTTGGACGAAATCTACATGAATACAAAAGCAAAGAATTGAAGAATAAAATGTGCCCTTACAGGTTTCAAAAGAACGTTTGTCGACGAAGTCCCATCAATGTCATGAATACCGTGAATTCTCATACCTTACAATTTTTTTTTATTTTTATTATCATCAATATTGCTACTGTTCTGGTCTTACATAAAATATGCAATAAACTTGATACGTTCTTATGTGAAATATTTCAATATTAAATTCAATAAATTCATAAATACTTTATGTGACCCAAGAATTTATCATAATAGTAGAATATCTGATATTGAATTAAAAAATTATAAAATAACTTAATAGACAAGATGATGATGAATATTGGATTTCTAATAAAAATATCGCAAAATTGCAGTAATTGAATCATAATATCCGATGAAATTATTATCTCAAATATTGACGTAAGTGTTGTTAAATATAAAAACGAACTTAAGTAAAACTAGAAGAAGAAAATACTCTTGTGCAACAAGCAAAAACAAAATAAACAAAGTGGATAACATAATAGTGGATACTTTTAATGTGATGCTTTTTGCAATATTAAAGATTTATCAATAATTCTTCAGGGTAATTCAATACTATTTGCCAATATTATCATGCTTCAAAGATCACATTCGTGCAATCAATAGGTCTAGTTTAATTAGGAAATTTCTAAAGCTTCCATGCATTGAATTTTCTCAGTAGCCACATACAATGCATTTGTTGGGGGACTTTTACCAAAAGGAAGCATTATCTGTATCTGTTCATACAAATTCTTAGGTGTTGTGTGTATTCACTTATTTTATTGTACCATCCAATTTCAATTATTTGCCAACATTTTTTTATTGTGATTCATCCATTGATGATTTTTAGAATAAAAAAACTGACTGTGTAATTCATACATTCTGTAAAAATTAATTTTAAAAATTTAATAATAAATTTTGTAGTAAGTAATAAATAAAAAATCATCTTATTTACTGATATTAGTTGAAATAAGACAATTATTGAATATCTAAGATAAAAAATGAAAAAGAAAAATGTATAATACTTCTCTAAAAGTGTTATTAATAAAAAGGACGTCACATGAGTGAATATGGTACGTTTTTCTCAATAAATATAAAAATCCTTATCACTGATGAACTAAAAAAGAGCTTTAACCCAAAAGTGTGGATAAAGAAAAATATGAAAAAAGTGTAAAAAATATTAAAGTTGATAATGTTTAGCGTATTGTAGTAAATTGAGTGCATTGTAAGGATGATTTGCGTATGTCAGGTACCTAAAATCAGTCGCAAATTGTTATCACCTCACCTGTCTTCATGAATGGCGAGTGGCCGTGCCTTGATGTCCTTTAGCAGTTGCACGGCCTCGTGGAATTGCACATCCAATGTCGTGGATATTTTCCGTGTGCCGGCCCTGACTGTCACCCGGGAAACCACGCGGAAAAGCGGAATGTGGAAATATTCAACTTACACTAATGGATATTATGGTTGACGACGACCGGTCGGAGTGTCAGTTGTCTGCTGTTGCGGTCTCCTTGGCTACGGCATCACTGACCGCGATACACCGTCACCCATGATCGTATTTTTGACAATGAAATCATCTTTATTGTCAATTTATAATTACACATTGCCTCAATCAGCTACTAAGTGACGTTTAAATTAATTTAAAATAACAATTAACAAAATAACATTTAAATAAAATATTATGCGATTTGTTAAACTATATCACCAGGGAACTACTTTATGTTCAGAAGACATGTTTGTATTACTACGCTGACATATATAAGACAACCCTTGTAACCCGCATTATGACACTGAATTTTTTTGCACTATGTTGTTTTAAATTAACGTAATTGTTGATTAATAGATAAATAATTTATAAACGAAATCAAGTTTATGTTATACACCTTTTGATGATTTAAAGTTAAGGTTTATTTCAAAAGAAATATCTATAAACAGGAGCTGAGGAAGAGGAGAATACTGTAGAGAGCGCTGACAACGCGGGTTCTACGAGAATAAAGAGGCTCCAATATTTATCGATGCGCTTCAGCCTGATTTTAGATTTCTACGAATGATATTGAAAATATTATTTTTGCTTAGCTTCATAACAAAAATACTATTAATTAATCAAAATAACAAATAAATTTTTAAAAGTACTATTTACACAAAAATAACCAAGAAAGAAACATTTAAGAATTTGTAAATGTTCATACTGTTTATGAAAATAATAATTAAAGAAATAAAGTAAAATAATTTATTTGAAATAATTAAAGATACTTACTATTATGGGGGTTAAATTTTTTTTTCGATTTTCTTCTCGGTTGTAAGCTGATTATTGGAGATTTTACGAAAATCGATTCAATTCCCGTGTAAACAAAACTTTTATTCTCATCATCACTCATTTTTGTTCGATTATTCAATTAAAAACACTTTGAATGTGATCTGACAAAGCCCGGGAGTTTCCAAGAGCTACGGTTTCTAGGAGAAAAAATGTTTTAACAGAATATAATACGAAAAATAATTATGGCAGTATCCTTACCTTAGATGCCAATTGTTTTTATAGATTTTAAATCATCTGATGAAACAGTTGACGATCGTTAAAATGAATATGAAATCGATCATTGTATAAATCGAATTATAAATTCGATTATTATAGACTATCGAATAATTTCGATCAATTTCTATCGAATTAATAATTTAAAATGTAAAAATTTTCCCGCTATTGTCTTTAAAGTTGATTGATGTATTTTGATTGGTTTTTTATAACGTGAAGTTGTTGAGGCGCGAGATTTAATATTTAAACAATAAATGGGTCAAATACGGCTCAAATGTTACAATAAAATTGTTATAAATATTTAAAATAGTTAATAATCAATAAAAACCTTTTTTATTTCAAAAGAAATAATTTGATTAATAGTAGAATCAATTGGAGAACAGAAAAAGGTGTAAAAGATCAAAGCAAATAACTTCACACCAATTTTCCCGGTAAATTGTAAACAAAGTGAACAAAGAATTGATGAAACTCACGTGGATATTCTAAAATCGAATAAAAACAATATTCTCCAACATTTTAATGCAAAAATGGCTTTCCGTGCAGCAGGCATGTCAGATTCATCAGATGATGATTTTGATTTTCAAATAGATGATTCAATTTCTTACGAAGTATGTTTTTATTGAGGTTAGTCGGTAATATGATTACTTTATGCTAATATGTCTTTTCACTTTAGAAACTTCACGACAATGATGATGATGATCATGATCATGATGATGAATGCAAAAAAAATGATAAAGCTGCTGAAGAAGCAGAATTAAAGAAAGAATGCGAAATTAACGTACTTACCGCTTGTATGACTGGAAACATCGATATAATTGAAGAATATATCAGTTGTACGTATTAGTTGTTGCTTCATGCATTTCATATTAAAATTTAATAAAATAAATATTACAGTGGGACATAATGTTGATGATTTCTTACACACTGGTTGGACTTTATTATTATATGCTTCCTCAGCAGTTAAGCCTGAAGTCGTTGAGTATTTATTAAGTTTAGGAGCAGATGCAAATAAACATAAAGGTAAAATACTTTAAGGGATGGTCTAAAAAATTCTTGCACTATATAAATGGACAGAACTTTTAATAATATTTTGAAAGTTTTAATAACCTACTGAAGTTCTGATACTTTACTAGATGGATATACTCCGTTGATGGCAGTATGTGACTCAACCAAAGGAACTACTGAACAAACTTTAAAGTGCATTTCACTTTTGTTAGAAGCGAGAGCTGATCCTAACGCTACTAATAAAGACAGGTGAAATTTTTTAATACACAAAATTTGAAGTACATGTTTTGTAAGCAACTATTAAATTTTTTTTTTAGGAGAACTGCATTAATGTGTGCCTGTAGATCAAAAGCAGTTGAAGTAGTAACGGAGCTTTTAAAACATATTAAAAATATTGATACTTGCGATAATGAAGGACGAACGGTAGTTTATTATTTTTAGATAAAAATTAAATTTGTTAAAATTACATTGAACTTTTCTTTTTAGGCAATTTTTGATGCAGTTACTGCCAATAAACCGGACGTAGTAAAAGTTTTAATCAAGAATAAAGCATCGGTAACTGTAATAGATCGTCGTAATTTAACAGTAAAAGATATTGCAAATACGAAAAATTATACTAAGGTAGTTTGATTATTAAAAATTTTGTAAAATTTTACTCATGTAAATTTATTGATTCCATTTTTTTTTTCCGTAGATTTTGGGACTTTTAGAATTTGATGATAAAGAAATTGATAACTATTGCCCAGTATTTACAGTAAAAACATGGAGAGATGCTTTAGCAAGTATTAACCATTCTGATCCAGACTCTATTGACCCGGAAATTGTGAACTTTTTATTTGCGATGAATTTGGAAAAGCATCGACAAATGTTTAAAGGCATGAGTTCTAAGACTTTTTTACAATTGACTCAAGAGGATCTTATTAAAATGGGAATGGATAGTGAACATGAAAGACAGATGTTTTTAAATGGATTACGTAAATTTCATGCAGCCCCATGGAAGCCAACCAGTATAAGAGTTGCTAAAAGCTCATCATCTCAATCGTGAGTATTATTTTCTAATTATTTTTATTTTAATGTAAAGATCAAAGAATGAATTTTTCTAATTTAAAGATTATTCGATGGTGTGGCAGCCATAATCAACATAACTCGTCAATTAGCTGTAATTGGTGCAACTTTCGGCTACATAAGGAAGAATTTAATGAAAGATGATGGGAGTGGAATGATACTTGATAAAAATGAGTGTAATATGATTCGAAAAGAACTTGAAGAAACTGAAAAAATTTTAGCTCTGTTAAAGAAAGATTTAAATAGTACTCTAAAATTCGCTGAAAAGGTCAAATTCTTTAAAAGAAACTACTTTTATCGAAATAAAATTACTTTAATAAAATAAATAATAATATTTTCTACTTTAGGTAAAAAATAATAGTCAAACTATGTTACCACCATCGTATATTGGACCAAAAAATGGAAGATCTAAAATAAGCTGGACAACAATAATGACTTTTACGGTATTAGCTGGAATTTTAATGACAAAAACATCTTTTATACAAAGACTGTGGAATTAATACTAGGAATATTCTACAACGAATTATTATTTAAAAAAAAAAAAAAGTATTATTACATTAACAATTTTTTTTTTTAAAAGTTTATCAAAGTTACAGAAATAACAAATGTTTTATTTTGATACTTATAAGATACGTTGTAACTTGTGAATAAAAATATATATCTTTAGGAATTCTACACCATATTCATATTTTTCCAAATTTTATTTGACGTTAATTAATTCAATTTGTATACTCACTTAGATTAGCTAATTGCATCATTAACGGAAAGAGAGGGTGAAATGAAGGAAGATTACGTTGTCTTATAATAGATTCGTAACGTTGTAATGGACCACTACTTAATGCTAATCGATCTTTCTCGCTAGGGTGATTATCCATCCATTGAGATAATCGATTTATTGACCATCCAGCGCTCTGAAAATTAAGATAAATAATGTTACTACTGTAATGATTAAATTATTCATAGGTTAATTATTTTTTATTATTAAATTAAAATTTAACTTACTTGATGTGGTGATTGTAATTCAGGTGGAGCACCCGAAAACAAATGAAGAAGAACGAGAGATGGTGGCACACTACCTTCACCTTTCATTTCGACAACTTTTTCTACCATTTTTTCTGGACCCAATGCTAATAAAGATTTCAAAGCTCGCATTGTTCTGTACTGCTGCTGCTCAACCAACCCCAATTGTACTCCTCGACATAAAGGTGATACTGCAATTTCCATCTGTAATTTTCATAGATTATATTCAAAGATTATATCTATTTAAAATCAACTATGTTTTTATTATACAAAAAGTACATGAAAAAATGTATAATTACCTGATTAAAATCGACAATTAATTTTGCTCGACCAAACTCACTAAGAGGTCGTATTAAACATGCATGTCGCACGAAAAGTTCTATGCATCTTGAGGCAACAGCATTACAGCTGAAAAATTTCAACAAAGCTCTAAAAATATCAGTATGCATAAAGAATTTACAGCTTTTAATTATTTAATTATTTTTTTACCATTCAGCGACAACTGCTTGATTTTTATAAGGAGAAAGAAATGTAGTTACTGATCGTAAAATGAAACCTTGTAATTCTCTTATATAAAGTGAACATCCAATTTCACGACCTAAAGGACTGCTTGGTCTGTAATTTAATAAGAAAAAAATTAGAACAAAAATTGCTAATAATTTCAAAATAAAAAGGAACAACAAAAATTATTTGCAATCTTACTCTTTAAATTCTGGATCATCGTGCATCGTTAAAATAATACTTTCAATGGCATCAATAATCGAAGCCATCAACGGTGCTAAAATATTCTTCGTTAATTTATTAATATCCTCAAGAGTATTTCCAATAACGTTAGCACCTTCTTGAGGTAAACTTCCAGCTAAATTGGTAACAACTCTGCTAATTTGTGTTGCTAGATAATATAACAAATTCGCCAAGTTTATATTGGTTAATTGACCAGAAGTGGGAGTATCAATTACCTGACTGGCCTCTCCACTAGTCACTAAACTTTGTTCACATTTCAAACAGAACAGTCTAATAGATTTCCCTACATTTCGAGAAACTACTGTTGAAAGAGTTTCATCAACAAGTGATACACTTAGCTCACTAGTAATCGTTCGAATCAAACTATCAATTTCATCTTGACTGGGAGCTGAATCGCCAGAAAACATGGTATGAACTGGATCAAGCAATCGAGAAATCGATCGTGATAAATACGCATTTTCAAATGATTGTAAAATATCACGGCTAATAGGGTATGTTCCAATTAGTTGGGATTTTTCTTTTAATCGTTTTCTTAAGTCTAAAAACACTCGAAGAAGCTTCGGGTATTCACCCTCAAGAGCTTGTTTAACAAAAGAAGAAGCTTGAGAACGTTCAATAAATACTTTAGCTAATAAAGCTATTATTTTTTCCCAAAATAACTGTGAAAATCCATCAAATTCTTTCGTGTAATGTTCGAGTAAGATTCTCTCGAGGAATTCTATCTGTACACATTGCATATAAATAGTTTCTTGTAACAATTTATCAAGGCTTTCCCAAAGACGGGTACGAAGGTTTCCAGAAGTTCCTGGAGATGGTAAAGCAGCTCTTCCTGGTCCACCTCTTTTAGTTAAGTCTTGATTTACAGATAATGAAACATCTAAAGCTTCTCTAGCAACTTTCTCAATTTCAGCCAATGCTGATTTTTCAGTCGATTCAACAGCTTGTGGTAACATACCTAAATTTTCAAATATTTGAATAGCTGTACTAACTTGTTTATTATTTGATGCTTGTAATCCTTGAGCTAATGTGCTTGTAGCTATTTTTTGAACTGATGCTTTATGAATCTTTATAGCTTGCTTATCATCAGCTAAAATATTTAATCCACTCAAATCTTCATCGGCTATTAACTGTTCAAGCTCTTGAATACTTTTCGCTGCTTTTATAATTTCTGAACTTTGGGATGGGTTGCTTATTTGTGAATGAAGTTTTTGTGAATGAAGAAGATGCTGTACTCTACCAACCCTTCGAAGTAAATCTGATGTTTCATGAAGTCTTTTTAAAACTATTGTTTGGGCTTCGATTCTGTTGAATGGCTCTACAATTTTTGCTCTTAAGCGTTCTACTGCTGATAAAAGACTCTGTAATTTAAAGTATTTTAATAATTAATAATTAATTAACAGTATTGTAAAATATTAAATAATAAGTTATTTTAATGATTTATTGAAATTACTTGAACATGAGTTTGCATAATGGCTAAAACTCCTTCAATTTTTTCAACCCATGTTACTTGTGACAACAAATCTTCATGATTTGAGTAAACTTGTTTATGTAGTTCTGCATCTATCACTTCAAGAGCTAGAAAAATAATTGGGTATAAATCAGATAGCTGATAAAAAAACGGATAAAAGTGTTAATTAGAATAAAAAACATACCTTTTCCAAGTTGATTCAATTGTTGAGCAACTGTTAAAATTTTTGTAGCTTCATTTTGTTTATCATCCGGATTTAAAAATTGTTTTAAAAAATCTGAAATGTAATGATTATAATTTATAAAAAAATAGTCCAAAATACTTATTATTAGTTTAAACAACTTACCGTTGTTTTCGATACTTTGAAGATCTACTATTTCACCCATGTTTGTAATTTCTTAATATCAGCTATAGATAATGTTTGCTAATTGATAAAAGTATTATTTTTAATAAAGTTTATGCGTAAAAACCGGTAAAAAACACTTATTGAAGTCATAGTAGATTCGTGGCAAGGTTTTTAAAGGACTAATTACAGATGATCAGCTGATCAAAGTGGCCTCATTCGCAGCTAACTTCACACTAGTCTTGATCAGTCTGTCAAACTGTTTTGTTGTTTATTGCATTTTTACCTTATTGTTAGAGTAAATAATTTATACATTTAATAATAATTTTTTTTTGTTAAGTGTAATTGAAAATTTAACTAATTCATTATAATCATGATCAATAGTCTATTTATTATTAACTCTTCTGGGTAAGAAAAATGTGATAATTATGCTCCATAACGCACTAAATAGAGTTGCTTAGAAGGAATAATTTTTAAACAATATTTTTCATCATTAAAACATTACTATTATTATTTAATTAATAATTTATATGAACATAATAAGATAATAAATGAGCCTTAATTTTTTAGGGATGTGTTCATGGAAAAACATTGGAAGAGTGCAGTAGCTAGGTCATTATGTGACTATTTTTTTGATCAACAGAGGAGAGTTTTATCTCCTGAAGACACTCCTCCTGTTATTGCTACTCCACATCACTATTTAATTAGTATTTATCGATGTAATATGTTCTTCGTTGCAGTTTGCACGACAGAAGGTAAATTATGATCTACTAAAAATTTTATTATCTAAAAGTAGATCAATATAATCAAAGAAAAATTTATTTATTTCAGTACCACCTCTTTTTGTTATTGAATTTTTACATAGAGTGGTTGATACTTTCGAAGATTATTTCAGTGAATGCACTGAGACTATCATCAAAGAAAACTATGTAGTGGTTTATGAACTGTTAGATGAAATGCTGGACAATGGCTTCCCGTTAGCTACTGAATCCAATATTTTGAAAGAACTTATCAAACCGCCCAATATTTTAAGAACTATAGCAAATACTGTTACTGGAAAATCCAAGTAATTTATTTTATAATAATAATTAATTACTTTATCAGCATAGACCTGGTTAATATTTCTCTGTTGAATCTATTACAGTGTAAGTGCAATTTTACCCAGTGGACAATTATCTAATGTTCCCTGGAGAAGAACAGGAGTTAAATATACGAATAATGAGGCTTACTTTGATGTTGTGGAAGAAGTAGATGCAATTATTGATAGAACTGGTGCAACTGTTTTTGCTGAAATTCAAGGATATGTAAATAATTTTTTTCTTGAACATTCTAATTTATTATTTTTCATAAATAATCATTTTATTATTATACTCTTAGATTGATTGTTGTATTAAATTGAGTGGAATGCCTGATCTTACCTTGTCTTTCATGAATCCACGATTGTTTGACGATGTTAGTTTTCACCCGTGTGTTAGATTCAAACGATGGGAAGTAAGTAAATGTTAAAATTATAAATAAACATTGACATACTACAAAGATATTTATGAATAATTGATAATCTTTTTTTTTATCAGTCAGAAAGAATATTGTCTTTCATTCCTCCTGATGGCAATTTTCGTCTTCTTTCTTATCATATTGGATCGCAAAGTATTGTAGCCATCCCCATATATGTTAGACATAACATCAGCCTTAAAGAACCAGGAGGCGGTAGATTAGACATTACTGTGGGTCCAAAGCAAACTGTTGGAAGAACAGTAAGTCATATTTAACTGAAATTTTCAATACATTCGTCCAAAACAAAAATTCGAATGATTTGATCATTTCTTCTTTATTAACTAGATTGAAAATGTAACGTTGGAGATTCCAATGCCAAAAATCGTCCTCAATTGTACCTTGATACCAAATCAAGGTAAATACTCATTTGATCCAGTGAGCAAAGTTTTATTTTGGGATATTGGCCGAATAGATGTATCAAAGTTGCCTAATCTACGAGGATCAATTACTATCCAAAATGGAGCAACAGCTTCTGAATCGAATCCTGCTATTAATGTAAGTCACAAAATTTTTGTTTGTTCAAAGAAATTGTTTTTAATTAAATTAAAAATTTTTAGGTACATTTTACAATAAATCAGCTAGCTGTATCTGGTCTGAAAGTAAGTGGCTTAGATATGTATGGTGAAAAATATAAACCATTTAAAGGAGTTAAATACATAACTAAAGCTGGCAGATTTCAAATAAGAATGTAATATTGGTTCACTTGGAAACAATAAGATGAAATGTAAAATAAATTATTATTAAAAACTATTTTACTATTTCTATTTAAATGTAAATTATTAAGATATAACATGAATTTCTAAGAATTTCTTGAATCGAATGAAACTTTATGAAATATTTTAATTACACAGTTGAAAAATTTTTAGTTCACGTATTTTATTGAAAAATACGATCCATTATCTTATAACTAATTAATTACTTATTGCTTTTATATAAATATATTATTGATATGATTCAATGAGATTTAAGTTGACTTATTTCTTATCCAATACATTTATAGTTCAGTCTACGATTTGACTCATAAATAGTTTTATTAAATTATGTGAGCAATAATGACAAAAACACCTATAAGTTTACATCAACAAGTCAATTGTTTAGCTTCGAGATCTTCCCAGGTCGGATGCGTAGCATATGTAAATAATCGTTCCATGTTGGTTGCATATATTGTATGATTACTTACTAAATTTTTGTATATCTAAATTTTGAATAAATAAAAATTAAATTATAAATGTATTATTGAAATTTAAAAAATTTTTCTACTTTTATTACATTCCAAAACATACCTTTAAAGTTTGTAATAAGTCTTTTACTCCTACAGGAGGAAGTGAAGGTGGCAATGTTTGTGTAGAACATGCCATAGCAAAAGCTGTTACTTGTTCAACTTCTTCAACGCTTTGTTTCATTGCAGGTACTTGGCCGTCTGGATCTACTATATCAGTTGGAGGACTATTGGAATGAAAATATTTTTTTATTTATATCATGTAAATGATTAATTCATTATTTGTGATTATTTAAATATTGTCATCTACCTATAATGTATTCCACGAGGTATATACATAGTATTCCTTTTCCAAGAACTTGGAACAGGTTCTCCAATATTATGGATAAAGCATTTACGTTTCACAGCAAAACCATTTCGTCGTGTTAATATTGCTGTGATTAAATTTTTTAGAAATATTTGAGTTGCAGCAATGATAATGTGAGCGGTATTTTCTTCAGCACCGTCCATATTATTTTCCCAAGCTGCTAACATCAATCTAGCTAATACAAATGTTTTATCAGGTAATACCAGTTCCTGTGCACTTGATCTATTAGCTCCAATCGGTTCATCTCCAACTGGTGAAGATATTTGACTTAGAACTTCAACATACACATCAGCTGGCTAAAAAATTTATTACAAATATCTATTAATTAACAGAATGAGTCATAGAATGAATTAAAAAATATTTGTTTTCAATGAGAAATAAACTCATATTGAAAACATCGTTGGAAAGCACTTCATACAAACCTCAAAGTTTGATTTATCAGTTTTGTATTTTCGTTTTAGCTTCATCTTTTTCTCTTTCAACGATTTCTCTTTCTCTACATGAGCATGAGTATTATTTACTTTAGGAGGTCTTGAAGGTGTTGCAGAAGCAAGCCCTCGCACTTTGTTAAATAAACACAACAAAAATTCATTATGCAAATGTATTTGCTCGCTTGTCATAATACTTCGTACTTCAGTATCGAATTCTTCTTTGGAAGACTGTAATCGAAAATTTTAACCAACCCAATTATAATAAATAATAATAAACTACTAATATATGTAAATAAACAATCAATCTTACCTTCATTTGGAACCACATTTTCATCTTTTCAAAATATCTAAAACAAATTGTTATTCAAAATATAAGTATTAGTTACGTTTCTTAACCTCTAAAAAACTTTAGAATACTTACAGTTTAGCATTATCGCCCAAAGCGTTGACAAGAATTTTTCTTGCATGATTCAAATCCCTCGAGGTTGTCATTATTTTATTTACAACGTTTTTATGTATTAAATAATGACTATTTAATTATAAAAACATGAGAATCTTTACGTTTTAAATACTTCAATATTGAAGTGAACCAACTGTCAACACACTCATAACCTCAAAACACTATCAAATTTCCCCCACTTTTTTCATTCCCTAATTTTACGCATTTGTTTTTCGATGACACGTGTTCTTCACCATACCACACAGGTGTTTGTTTATTAGTAATCCATTATAGAAATATAAATTATCGAGTCAATACGTATTTTTATATAAGTTATAATAAAATTATTTATTCATAATTTTTAAATTAACGGTGAGTACAAGATTATATTTCTTCTGAATATTGAATTATATAAATATTAAATGAATAAAAATTATTTACATGCATTATAGAACAATTAAATTTTATTATAAAGAATTTTTACAACAGTATATAACTTTAAAATTCGAGATAAGATACATTTCAAAATTTAATTTAATGTTATTGTAATTATTTATTTATATAAATGAGTTAATTTGCAATATTAATATAGCTGCATTGATGGAACAGTAATTAAACAATTTCATTGTTAAAATATTTTGTCATGGAGATTGGTAAATAATTAAAACAATAATCATTAGATTATTATAGTATATTAGATGTTAAATTAGCCCTTGCGTTTACCACCTGAGCGATGTGATAACGGTCATCTTATTTCTTTAGCAGGTAATTTAGAACGTACAAGATCCCAACTTATGGAAGTAGAGTCTGATTTCATACATAAATCCATCATTATTTGTGCATATTTTGTTCCTCTTTTTACACCTAAACATGTTCCACTTGCCATGTTGTAGATAGGTGTGCCATTCTGAAAAAACACGTCATTAAATTTTTTTACGAGTTAGATAATTGTAAAAGGTTATACTAACTACAATACATACAGTCCCTTTATGATGCCACTCTTGATTACCTCCCATTTCATGACATTTTCCAAGCTTAGGAATTTTTCCACCGCCTTCTAGGCAGAGCATTTGACCAAGAACTAATTCATTTCTGTCAGTTTCATACCACATCTAAAAATAACCATTTATAGTTAAATTTAAAATTAAATATTATTTAATTGATTCATTTCAAAAGTTACCTGTGATTTAATTCGTAAACAAGGAACAAGAACTAATTTAGAGCCTTTTGTTTTAATATCCTTTTCACTTTGAATACAAAGTGCTGAATTTGTTAACCTAATTTGATACTGATCTGTATAGTTTCTGACTCTTGAATGCCAAGGTTGCATAGGTGGTTGATTTACTTTAAGCCATTTTTCTCTTAAGCTAGCTTTACTGTCATCAGGTAAAGCGAGCTCTGGATAAACTGTTTCTAAATACCATGCAAAATCTTTGCATTTTAATCTCTGCCGAAGTGTTATACGATCCGAAATATCACCATAATCAATTGGTTGAATATCTTTCAAGAAATATTCTTTATATTTGTCCATCCACACGTGTGCAACACGTAATGAATTCTTCAACATTGAATCAAATTGGCTGTCATTACCATAAGGACGGCGTCGTCTGAAAACGTGTCCAACTCGTGAACATGGTATTAATTCAATGCTTCCTCCACACATCCATATTCTAAATGATATCTCTAAATTTTCTCCACCCCATATATCCATTCCTGAATCATATTCACCCATTTCAAAGAAATAATTTCTATCTATTGCAAATAATCCACCGGCCATTGTTGGTGATTTTATAGGTTTAACAAAATCTTCATCTTGAATTAGAGTATTTTTTGGCAAATTATCCCACTTGAAATGAAGTCCCCAATTAAATCCTCCTCTTACTAATGGACTTGCAGTGTATTGGAATGTATCTGAATTAATAACATCAATCACAGGCATTGCTACAATCGTTGGAGATTCTTTAATCCTCTCTAATAAAGGTTCTATCCACATTTTATTAACTTCAATATGACTGTCTAAGAAAATAAGAACACTTCCCGTTGCCTTTTTTGCTCCAAAAATCTTTGCTCTTATTAAACCTTCTCTTCTTTCAGTTTTAAAAAATTTTACTAGACCATTAAAATTGTCATTTACGTATTTTTTAATATTTTCATGCGTTTCACTTGAATCACTGTAGTCATCTATTAAAATAATTTCATGTAAAAGGTGCTTAGGTGTTCTCGTGATAATAGAATGTAGGGATCTCAATAATGTCATATAATGCTCATTATAAAAACATATAATAACGCTGGCATTTGGTAATTTGGATGGATATTCAATTGATGAACAAAGTTTATTACGAGTATCTGGTAACTCTCGATTGATTCCAATATTATCTGATACTAAACCATTGAAAGCATATTTTTTGTATCCTTCATCTCTTTTCCTTTGATCTTCATAATTTCTGACTAGTCCCAGTTCATCTAAACCTATGATGACATCAATATTAATATCTGAAGTAAGGAATTATTAGAAAACATACCATCTCCTATTGAAGCTGCTGGTTTTATAGGAACTGGTTGGAGTTGTTGAAGAAGTTTGTGGCTATTTACTTTCATTGCATATTTTTCTCCATCATGGAGTATCTTCTGTTTGAATACAGATTCCCCTAAAGGTATCGTATATTCAGACACAAGCATTGTTGGGTTAACCATGTTGGCATTTTGAGTGAGTTTGGAGTAAAGATAAAAACTAAATGCCCATGTTATTGAGGCAACTATTATCCCCGATATAAACGAAGCGTATCTTGTAATTATTATCTAAAAAATGGAAATTTTTCAATAATTATACAAAGTACTTTAACTTTATATAGGTTATGAAATTCATACTCCAAATAATATGACAAAAATCATATAATTTATAAAAAATACTTACCATGATTCGTTATTATTAAAGACTAATTTAATAAAAAATAATTTCAACAATAATATTCTTTACATATTTCTAATCTCTTTAATAACTTGTCCACCTGTCATCACTCATACTTCATTGTTTTGGTCCAACAGCTGGTTTATTTTTTACATTGAAATATTCTAACAAACTCGAATAAATGATTAATAACAAATTTATATTGAATAAAAATTGTAAAATTTTATGAAAGAGTTATAGAAACATTTTTTATCACAAAAATAGATACTTGAAATAAAATCGTAGTTGGAGAAAAGTTTTTCACAAGCCACTTACACGAGCCCCTGTGGCCTAATGGATAAGGCATCGGTCTCCTAAACCGGGGATTGTGGGTTCGAGTCCCACCAGGGGTAAAACCATTTTTTAATAATCATCCCTTATTTTTAAATAATCATCTTTATTCATTCAATAAACATTTGATACTACTATATCAATGGAATTTAAACGTTTGTTTACATTTCTTGTTTATTTCTGCAAATTTCCTTCGTACCAACACAATAAATGATTGAAGTATTTTGAATTTAGTCATGTTTTACAAAAGAATGTTGATAATTTTGTATTAAAAAAAATTTAATATTTAATGATATTATATTTTTGTAATTAAAGATCAATTATATGATCAGTGCCAAAGACACAACACGTTTGAGACTCTTAAATGAATATATTTTCTAAAATTGTGCACTTCACCATTTTATTTCATTTTTTTTCAGCAGCATAATGTTTGATAAATCGTGCTGATGGATCACTGATATTTTTTACCCATCGTGGCATCCAAAAGTAAGGTGTGAAACTCTCTCCTTGATTAGGATAATATTTTTCAAAGACTTGCCTATAATATAACACAATAAAGATTAACTCTTGTTAACATGATATAAAAGTTATCATCAATTACCTGTAATAAAATGCCTCTTTAGTTTTTGGAGTACAATGAGGGTATTTAATAGGAGCTGATTCGAAATTATCATTTGAAACACGTTCTTCCACGATATCTTGTATTATCTCAAACAATGATTTCTTTATAGATGCTACTCCGTCACTAAATGCCTCTTTGTGTCGCCAAAGAATATTATTTGGCAATAATTTAGAATCGTCAAAGGCAGATCTTAATAAATGTTTTTCTACACCATCTAAAAACATTTGTTATTTTCTAATAAATATCAAAAGATTGAGTGAACAACTATTTTTTTATAGAATTTTATGTTCATACTTTGTGGTTGACGAGATTCAGGATCCAATGATAAATAATAATGAGTAAACTGAAGATCTAAGAACGGTACTCTAAGTTCAAGGCTATGAGCACTTGTAGTCCGATCAGCTCTCAATCCATCGTAAAGATAAATATCCTGAAGAAGTCGTAGGGATTCTTCATGTGCATCATGAGCATTGGGAGCATCTCTAAAATATATGTACCCTTGAGCTACTTCATCAGCTCCTTCACCACTGAATATTACTGTGGTGGATGTATTACGTTTAATATATCGTGCTAAAATATACATTCTACAAAATTACAAATTAGTTAGTACATAGTTTGGTAATTTTTAATTTATTCCTAAATATTGATTTATTTTTCTTCCGTTAGAATAATTATTTACCCGATCGATGCACGAATAGTAGTAATATCGAATGTTTCTAAGGTGTAAATAACTTCATCTAGCACATTGGCAACATCTCCAGAAGTAAAAATAACTTCATGATGATCAGTTCCAATATAGTCAGCAACTTCTCGAGCTGCTTGAATGTCTGGACTATCTCCCATTCCAATAGCAAAACTTTGAATTTTGTAAGGCAAATTATATTCCTTTGCAAATTTCACGAGTAATGCCGCTACTAAGCTAGAGTCTAATCCTCCAGATAATAAACAACCTATTCTCCTATCAGCCATTAACCGCTTTTCTACTGCTGCTGATAATAATTTCCTGATATTTTCTGATACTTTGGATGGAACTAGTTCTGTAAAAAAGTTCCTCTAGCAAATATTTACTTATTCTTTTAATTATAAATTAACATCATTCATTTAGACTTGGAAAACATTTAATAAAACTTACCAGGCCATGGAACACGTGGAATGAATGATGGTTTATCACCTGGTTTATAATAGTTAACTGTTTCTACAAGTTTAACTTTTCCATCTGGCAAAATTTGATATTTTTCATAATGTCCAGGTGGAAAAGGCTTCAATGTCCATTCATCTGTCACTTGATCTATTAGATTCATTAATCCCTGATAAAGATAAGGTTATTTACTTTATATCCACCAAAAATTCTAGATAATAAATAAACTTACCTTGCTTTCTGAACAAACAGCTAATTGTCCATCTTTACTTAACAATCTAAAGAGAGGTCTTACACCATAAGGATCTCTTCCAATGAGAATTGTTTTTTCCTCCATATCAGTTAAACAAAAAGCAAATACTCCATCTAAAGCCTTGGTAACATTCTTATATCCAACATTTTTGTATAAATGAATGATTATTTCTATATCACATTTTGTTACATAGTTAAAGTTGTACTGTTCTTTCAGCTGTAATTAATACATTCTTTTTGTAAGATTTCTTACGATAGATTGATTTTCTAATTAAATTCTGCATTCTCTCTCACGTGTTTGTAGTTGTAAAGTTCTCCATTACACAGTAAAAAAATATTTGGATATTCGTATAATCTCATAGGCTGCATTCCACACAACGTATCTACAATAGCCAATCTATGAAACCCTAAAAATCCATTCTGCAATGTTGAATTACATTATTAATTAAAACTTAGTAATACGAATTTAAAACTTTATTTTTAATTAATAAAAGTGAACAAATTACCTTAACACGATCATCATACTCAATTCTAATAGCATCTGGACCTCGATGAGAAATTTTATTAAAACTGTTACAAACACAGTTCAAAGTTTCTCCCTCAATTCCAAAAGCAGCCCAGATTCCACACATTTTTATTAATTTTTCAATTAAAATATTATTAATGTTTCAAACTTTCTTCAAACAGAATTACAATATATCATCCACTAATAAAATCTAGCAATGAAGAAAACACGTGGCTTTTTCAAATTATATTACGAACATGTCGACGTTCTATCACTTGCTGACGTAACACTCAATATCATTTCAATATCAGTAGATTTTTATTTTTCCTCATTTCTAAAATTAGAAGAATATTTTAAATATAAATTTTAGTTGAGTGAATAAATTTACATTTTAATTAAATAGCATTTGAATGAATCATTGAAATAAGGTATATTATAAATTTTTCTATTCAATAAATAAATAAAATTACTAACAATTAATGCTAATTCAAAAAAAATATAAAAAAAATTTTTGGAGTTTACTTTATGACTGTATTTTGTTAGTTTTTATTTATTTATTTATTCAAGTCAATATTTCTTTAATTATGAAATAATTAAATAAACGTGATAAACAGTTAATTGCACTCGATTACGTGAGTTTAATGATTACATACAATTTTTTTAAACTTGATAAAGTGAGATATTCATAGCATAAACGTGTTTTTCAGGTAATCTTACTACAATTATAAATTGTAATTTTTTTCATCGTTAGAAACTTTAATAGGCAAATTTTTATATAAAATATTCTAACTTGTTCTATTTTGTAATGTAATTTGTATGGCAGAATGTTACTGATCAATTTTCATTTCTTTATTTTTCTAGCCTTTGTGCACTGACCAATTAACTTTGTTATCAATGTTTTCCTATCTCTTTCTCTTTCATATTCACTAGTTGACATATTCCCTCTCTTTTTTAAAATCGTGACGTGACGAGCTAGATAGAAGCGCCGCCAAGTGTGAGTATTGGGTAAACCCTAACCTCTAAAAGAGTCGCGTTGATTCGCGACAGGGGCGCATTCGCCGCCTCTTTTCCTTTTCCATATTTTCTTCTTATTTTTATTTCTTCATAGTGGATTATCGTATTAATTGTGTTAGTACAGAAAATTTAATATAAAAGGTACTAAAAAAATTATTTTTTTACTCTTACAAAATTGTAATTAAAAAAAAAAAACAACCTTCTGTATAATCGACGCATTGTCGTAATTGTTGCGGTCAGCTGTTTCCGTTGGTCGTATCTTACTTACAAGTTATAGGCTATGCTAGAGAAGGATTGAAGACTACGTAAGACAGTATTATTGTGGGTTCGCCTTTTGTTGATTTCACGAGTATCGCAGATGAGGCGGGAGTAGTCGGCTTCAACCAGAGCTCATGTAAGCATGTGTCAAATTTTTTTTGTATGGCTGCCGGTTTTGGATAGTTTCTTCTAAATAATCAACCATCTTTACACTCATCAAATTTAGAAATAACCTAAAACTCTATTCCAAGTCTCATTTAATATATTATTCGGAGTTGGATTGGAATTACAAAGGAATTTTTTTTAAAAACAGAATAAATAAGCAGACAAACGAGGGTATTTGTCATCGATCGATGCGGAAAATGTGCTGAAAAATTATACAGAATAGCTGTGTGAGAAAGTTTCCGTGTCATGATGATGAGGTTTTTGTTGCTGATTGTTGAGCAAGACCTATGTAAGGGTTGGAAGGTGTGTGGCGCGAAGGAAATTTAGAATTGGCTTGAGGCTGATGTGAGCGTAAAATATTGAGGGCAAACATCAGAAAAGAAAATGAAAAAGTTTAAAAGTCAAACAAATACCGTAGTAAATAAATTTTAGGTATATTAGTGAAATAAAAATCTAAATGAAGTGGAATTTGGTGCTAAATGGTAATATACCAATGATTCAACGGTACTAACAACTGATCAAGGTGCAAGGAGGTCACAAAATACTTCCTGGATGGACTGATATCACCTAATACTTGACAAACTAAAAACTTTGTTGAGTTGATCACAGTTTAATGAACATTTGGAGTAGAACATACGTTTGGAGACAAATGTTTTCTTATTGCTGTTCATATTCTATGATTCAGAGTTTGCAAGGACAACAATTGAATAAAAATACTACAGCTGTACCAAAAGAAAAGTGGAAGAAAAGTTAAAAATCTTCAGGAAAGTTTAAAAAGTGAAACATTTCCTATTAGCTTGATGTAATGTGATTACAAAGTTGTGTCCAATTTTTTTTATTGCTATAAGTACTTCAGAGTTGATAAAATAGCCTTGGAAATATCTTCAATGCTTTAGGTTGATTTATAATTAATTATTCTTATCGATAAAAGTGTTGAAAAGTTTTTTGCTCTTAAAAATACTCTTGAGAGGTTTTGAATATTTTTAACAAATTATTAATTATTATCGTTACCTTCAAAATAGCTTGCCAATTTAGTAGGGAAATATTTGAAAGTTTGAAATTATCAATTATTCTATAACTAATTTTTTTATTGCTCTCAAGAGAACTATTTTTTATTATTATTATTATAATTTATAGAATAATTGGAACTACAAATACATGGGATCGGAAGATGCAGTTTAGTTTTTATTCGGTATCGTTGTAATCGCGTTTATTTATATCGACTCGTGTACTGCCGCATGACCGATCAGAATACTTTATTTATCTTTTGCATACCGAGACGTATATGAGGAAGAGATTTGTCTCAAGACATAAAGTGCAAAGAGATCTCATCTTAAGTGTCTTTGAGTTTAGTGCTTTTAGTAGAAATAATTATGAATTATTCACCAATAAAACAACCTTAGTAAAAAATTTATAAATTATTATTTTTTTTTTTAATCACAAATTATTTTTATGAAATATTTAATTTTCAAGAAAGTAAAGTGGTAATTTAAGAAAATTTTTTCATGTATTAAAGTGGCACTTTCAGTAAAAAAAAGTGAGTGGAAGTGATAGTAAAAGGCCGGAAATATTATTTATTATTATTTATTAACTCAGTATAATTAAAAAAAAAAAAAAACAGTGTATTGAATTATTATTTATCATAGTGTTTATAAATGAGATAAATAATTTTTGATTTTTTTAAACTAAGAATCGAATCTTCACGACTCAAGAGATAAAATACAACCCCCAGGAACGTAAGAAAAAGACATTCAAGTAGAAGTGGCATTTCGAAAGTAGAGCATTGGAAGACGTTGAGAAAATCAAGGTAAATATTTTTCTAACATATTTATATTAAATTACACTTGATTTCATCTAGTTCATATTTTTGTTTCAGTGTTAGATTTATGCAAGGATCTTTTATTTGTGAAAAATTTAATGAACATAATTTTTTTTTACTTTCAAATAATATTCAAAATCAAACAAAAGCTAGTACATTGAATACATTTTTGAGTATCACAGAGAAGATACAAAAGATGTCAATAGAAATTGTTTAAATTTTCTCTATGAAATGGCTTTTATACAAATTATTTCAAGAATATTTTTATACTTTTTGGATAAAAATACAATAAATCCCAAATAAAAGGTATATTTTTGCATGAATTTAATATCAGACTTTTTATTTACATATTTTAATAAAGTATATTATTCAAACATGCTTTCAGTTGAATATAAAAATTTATTCAATCGTAAGACAATAAAATCTACTTTCTCACCAATAAGTAGATCCATCTATATTAGAATAAAGTGAAAAAATAGTATATTGAACTATTTGATCTATCCTAGCTTAATTTTTCTTCGTTACAGTTGGTTTAATCTCACTAACAATAAAAGTACTAAATTTGTAAGCTCACTGAGAAAATAAATAAAGAGGGAAGGATATAGATTAAAGGGGATGTGTGCAAGCTTGATGGAGTATCTTCAAGTTGATATGAAATCTAGTAGTTTACTATCTTAAAGCTTTTAAACAGTAAGAAAATTATTACAAGAGTCGTATTTTTATAAAAAGATATATTGTTTTCTATTGAAGTAAATTGTGAACGTCGCAGATTCTTTATCATACAAATAAATATGATAAAGATGACAATATCAAACTCGTATGTATTTGTATATCGGTTATGACATCATCTGCAGACAAGTCATTATTGAAAACTGGAAAACATTTAGTTTTTTATTGTCACTATTAAATTAAAAAGTTAACCCCCGATAGACACGCTAAATAAACAAAAAATATTACTGATTTTTTCATATTTATTTTATATTATAATTTGAACTCAAATTTTGATTTTTTAACTATTAAAGTACTTAGAATTTTACAATACATGATCAAATTTATATGTAAATGTTGATAAAACATTGATGTAAAAAATGTCTAGTATTTATTCAGAAAAGATGAATTAATATTTTCAAGAGAAAAAAAAATTAACTATTTCAATTGAATAATGATGAAATAAAAATTTTTATCATTACAAAGTTGTCCTTCTATTAAATAGATAAATAAATAAATAAAAGAAATAAATTGATGAATAAATAATAGTACTAATAATTCTTTTGTGTTAGTGGAGAGAATAAGAAAAAGAGATTGAGTCATAGAAAGAATATTGTATATAATTAATTTTTTAATCTAAGTCATTATTCAATATTTAGAACACTAAAAACTATTCTAATTAAATTATCATCAATTAAGGGTGGGTTTACAATAAGTTCACGAGGAATCTAGATAGATATATTAAGTATTTTCTTTCTATTTCATCATACAGAATTTGGTCACAAATTTAATGTATGTGATGACTTCATCATCATCATCAATGACATTTATATTAAATCATATTAAACGAAATGAATGACCAGAAGTATAATTTCATTTATAGATTTATACTTTTTTTATTACTTACATTAATTTTGTTATTAATGAATTTCAATTCAGTTTAAAATCATCTTTTTTCTCAACACTGTTGATGAATTTTAATGAACATGGAGAAAATAGCGATATACTATTTTCATGTTTTTTAATATTTAAAATTAAATGCTTGTTCAATACACTATTTTTTTCGTTGCATTCCTTTTGTCATTCTTAAATGGTTGCGTTTCACCTGCGTAATTTATTCATCGCCGGAACTGATGAAGGATAGCGCAACTTGTGTAGTGTAGCAAGTCACAATTGCTTCATAAAATACCAACAATTCTATTGACAACGTGAGATGCATTTTTAATATTATGTAGCATATACTGAATTAATTGATGAATTAAAAATATCAAAGATTTTATTATCTTGTACTGTAATGATTTTTTGTCATTATTTTTGAAAAATAGATATGCTTTAATTAAAAGGTACTCTTAGAGTAGTTTATAAATAATTATAACGTCTAAGTAACATGCAAGAATTGAATATTCAAGCTTTGCAACTGCACCCACATTCAACGTGCGGTGTTTTAACCACCCACTTTGCAGTTTACATATTTTTTTGCTACTTACATAATAATAAATGTGTTAACAACTGCCTATTTTATTGTTTCTGTAAGAAAAAAGATCGAAAGGATAAAGAATAAAAGGGTAGTGGCATTGTTATTTGTTGAATTACTATTTAATCAATATACAAATAAATCTTGTTTTAGATAAGTTAGATTAACTTATTTATTTATTAATAGCCATTATTTATCTTTAATTAGGTATGATTTCATTTAATATCAATACATTGAATAACTTTTTACAATGCACTTTTTTTAAGGAATCAATCAATTTTTATTATCAACCATAGATTGAATTCAAAGACTTTTTAATTAATATCTGGGTTATAGAAAAAAATCTCTCAGGTATTGGTTCCTTAGATTTAACTCGATTTATAGTTCTTCCTATTTAATTGGCACACTTTCAATTTTTTATTGCTCTTTTTTTCTATTGAAGATTTTAGTTTGATTAACTAATCGATAATTAAACCTTAGTTAATTTTATTTTTAAAAATCCAATTATTTAAAATATAATACTTTCTAACATAATTATTTATCCAAATCACTTATGATACTTCTGAATAATTTGATTGTAGAGTGAGTCACATAGTTCAACGAAAACAATATTTTGAAGAGAGAAAAAATGAAATCATTACTAATGTTGAATTAATTCAATCAAGTTTAATCTTATAAAATGATTTGAAATCTCTCGATTTCATTTATTTGTTCATTAAAAATGAACTCTTGACAATTATTATGATAGTCCATAAATAATAAATGAATTTTGTATAATATTTTTTATAATTTTAGTCAACAAATGCATGATTAAGATAATTATAAATATAATACTAATGTTTATCGGAAATGATTCCTTGATAATTAGTAACATGAAAGTTTTTCAAGCAGGTCGAGGACACGCGAATGCTGTGTGTCTATTTGGCGGAGACGCTGCGGTTCGAAATGAATAATAGACGTTGAATGAGGACGTCGTGCTGGTACTTGCAAAGAGATAGGAGACCGCCCCCATCTTTGTCACAAGCTTTGCCAGACACCACGGCGACAAGAATTCCCAAGAGTCATATCGTCATTGATGTAAGTATTAAATCTCTACTCTTTACAATACTGTATATCTCAACATGAACACATGATGACCTTAAAACTACCAAAAAATAGAGATTAGACTATCCATGATAGTCAATCTTTCTTAAAATAATGATAAATTATCTAATATATTGTCTACTATTTCAGAGCCATTATTTTTCAAGTGTGGGAATATTCATTTTTAGCACACATCATACTCAGTCTGGGAATAAACCGTACGGTCATGTCTATTGTTAGAATAGACCTCAAAATGGTTGCAAAACCAAAATATTTTTTTTTTTGCATGTGCAAAGGTCATATCATAACATTGATATTTTTTTTTTGAAAAGTTTCATGTAATATCATGAAATAATAAGTTTCTCATTTTCTTTCAATAATGAAAATGTATAGAATACAGAGCACAACTTTTTCTTTGAAAGAAAAATAAGTTAAAATTTTACCACTAAGTAGACAAGTTTTACCTAAGACTTGAGAAATAAAAGAGAATGCTTGTCGCCAATTTTCTGGCAACATATCAAAGTCTTAAGACAAACAAAAATGACACAAGGAATTTTCTTATATACAAAACATTCATTGCATTCTTACTCACACTTGACGACGAATTGTCTGAATAATAAATTTTCATTATGAGTACATTTGAAAAATTAATCGTCCAAGAAGTCAAAATTACTAGAACAAATATTAACAATTGTAATTTAAATGAATTTTTTCATTTCATTTCTTAATTGATGCAAATTTTTTTAAATTCATTTTTGTACATTTTCTTATTTACTAAAACGAGGAAAATTAAAGGCAGCTGTTGCGTAAAATCGATTGAATTGTTTCAGTTTGTAAATCAGAATAATCTTAGGTCGTAAGTCATATGACCTCATTGCAATTCTTCATTTTACATTGCAACGATACAGATGGAATTCCGTGGATGAGTATCGACGTCATTATAACACGAAGCACGTGCTCATACTACTGTCGCGTGATCGGGGTCTCTTGTAGTTAATTTATCAAACGATTCAGTGTGAATATTGTATATAGTCTTGTAATTCTTACTTATTCGAGCCCACTTAAATAATTGTATAATTTGTAGGCCAACTTATATGTTTTTATTTCACAAAGAACTGTTGAAAATATTTACTTATCATTTATTAAATCTCGCAGTGACTGTATTAATGATTTTTTCACAATGAAATTTCCCTTATTATCCAACACAGGGATGAAGTTAATTAAAATTTTAATTAAAGTTACCGTAATATTTGTTTATTAACTACAAACATTTATTACTTTTTTCCTTATGAAATAATTTAAAATTTTATTTATTTTTGTGAATTTGTTATATTTTGTCTATTTAGAGGAGCAAAAATGATATTATATGCTACACTATCTTGTCAATATCGCGTGTCTAGTAACGTGAATTATGCCACGCAGCACATGTGAAAGAACGCGTGCGCATACACAATGTGTTAACTAACATGTATCTGTATTTGTCAGGAACAAAAGAAGAAAACACAAAAGATTATTATTTGATTCATGTATCACTATACATGAAATACAATAAAGGATAATTATATTAATTATTGAATTGAGTCTAATATTTAGAGCAGAAAAAAATAATCAATAGAATTCAATCAAGTGCACTGACCCAGGCCAATTCTCAGACATTTATAAATATTTAAAAGGTGTTTTTGAATTATAGTCTAAATATAAATCTAGAATTATTTATTTGGCATAGAATCTCTAATGTGTATGCCTCAATTGCTCCTCATCAATGTCATCATCTACCAAATCACCTGACAGCCTATCGTACCAAATTAACGTCTGCCAAATTCCTCATGATTAATTTGCTGTTTCCATTTTTGTTCTCTAGGTATTTAAAAAAAAAAAATAACGTCGACTATTAGTTAATCAAAGTAAAATTTATTTTTACTTTTTATAAAACAAATAATTTGAGTGATTGATTCTTGATAATTTTGTTATATTCTTAATTCAAAAAAACAATTCATAAAATATGTTTTTAGTAAGAAAAGTTTTTTTTCTTATTTTCAAATAATTTGTTTTAAATTTGAAATAAATAAAAATAAATGCAATCAACTTAATTAATAGTACTTTATTTTAATAATTAATTACAAAGGTTTATTTATAGTATTTATTTTTATCGCTGTCCGATATTTTTTTCACGTCTATTAAAATATCCTTTCAACATTTTTGTCATCAAATTTTACTCAACTATATATAGCAATAATTTTTGAATCAATCGTTGTCATGATCAATAAAGTGCTTATAATTGTCAAAGTTTCTTACGTCATCAGACACATAGTAAACAGTTTTTATCGACAGCTTTGGACATCAGCCAAGCTTGAGTTTCTTTTCTCATAAGTTTTAGTATTCTTTAGATATGAAAATTTGTAAGACATTGTCAGATATAAAAATCTCTTATTAACATTATTCTTTTCTTCATGTCTTTAGCCAATAGTTGATAAAGTTTATTTCACATGCATGTGAAGAGAAAAGCCAAAACTCACATGTTCCACACTTCCGGCCATATGTTAAAGAAAATTACTATCTACTATACAACGATCAATACTTATTTATATATCAAATCGTTGACGCAATAATGAAATATTTCAATGTCCAGTGTACTCATTTACTATCACAATGTTGTTAAGGTCTTATTGTTAGTTGTAACTATTAATAACTATTATATAACATTTGTTGTATAATTTAATGTCAAATCTTAAAAATTATGTAATTTCAAATGAATTTCAATTATGTATCAAATCAATTTTTAGCTGTTACAAATCTTCTTTTTTCATTTTACAACAGAAACTTTTTTACTGCAATGCGCTATAATAATCGACTTATGAAATGTAGTATTTTATAAATATCTCATTCATAAAATCAGTTATTTTTCTACTTTTATTCAATATTTTACTGAATATATAACTTTGATAGTGGTACTTTTTTTTTTTTATTTAATAAACTATAATATTTATTATTAAGACAGTCGTTTTTTGAAAAATCACATCACTTGAAATAATTGGCTTATTTTTTAGGTGACTTGTCGATTTAATTGATAGCATATCGGATAAAGATTAATTTTATCCCATCTCAATTCTTATCTCTCTCCTTGGAGTATAAAATTGTCATTTTTATATTACTTAAGATTTTTTATTGTCGATTAAGTAATATTTAATACAGTTCAACAAAAATAAGATAATTGATAGTTGAAAAAATAATTTCTATCACTATCGAGGATCTGAGTATATTAATAATTTAATGATTAAATTTATTATAACTAACTCTCACTCTCTTAAGTAGTCTAGCTAAAAGCTAGCCTTAAATTTTTTAATATTCGAAATTACAACCAATAATTAATACTCTATGATCTTTCTAATTCTTTATAATTACAATAATAATTATTTTTAATTACAGATTTATAGATGGAAGGACTCAGTAACGGAAAAGTAGAAAAAACCGATGATTGCTGCAACGATAAAGACACAATGCTTGAAAAAGATTCATGTGATGATAATGGAAAGGTTGAATGTCTTGAGAACATGAAAAATGATAATGAATCAAATAGATTGAATGTCATGACGTCAGAGGATGAAAATAAGTTAGAAAAACGATTGTCTCGTGAAGATGATCCGGAAGAGGATGAAGGAAAAGGTTCAGATGAAGAACAGGAGAGTAAAGAGAAGACTGAAGAAAAACGTGACGATGAGTCGTCTACTACGTCTACGTCTACGTCTGACGATGAATCAGAAACAAGCTCTGAAGAGAAAACGGAGCCATCGACTAAACCAGAAGAACCACCACCACCACCTGAGAAACCTCAAGAAAAAACTGAAGAACAACCTAAGAATGATGATACTACAGATGAAAGTGACATTGATGATGATCTTGTCTCTACTATCAACTACAACACCATCACTTCCTTGGCTGCACTTAAAGATATGCTTCAATCTTCTGGAGAAGACTCTGACGGTGTTGACAGTTTCTTTCATCATTACTTTTTATCCCATGTAAATCGCTTGCCATCAAGAAACCAAACCCACAGTCCGTATCCTTGGGGACGAAGGCTATCGGAGTGTCGCGAAGAGGATGAAGATGAAACCGAAGAAGGTAAGTACTTTCGTATAATTTTATTACCATGTTTAGGATTTAAAAAATTTATATACTATCTTTACCTAGTTCATTTTATTTCGTTAATTTTTCTTCCATTTTTATTATTAGGGCTCTTAATTTCCTTCATAGTAAAGTGGAAATTTTTCTCGAATAAAATTCTTGAGTGATGAAATGTAAAAATAATACGAATAAGTGCAAAGAATAAACATTAAACATAAAATTTTTTTAAATGAATAATGGATATTCTTATAATTGTATTATTATATTTTGGCTATCATAGTCACCCACATATATAGGAAAATGACCTTTGATCTATTGAGATAAAAAAAATATTTTTGTTTGTAAAATTATCATAAAAAAAAAATGTATAAGATATTCTGATAGTTTTAATGATTTTTGTTCGGTATAAAATTTTTTCTTTGTTCCTATACTTCATGCTTATATAAATACTTAATATTGAAGTAAAAATTTTGATAATCATAACCATTTCATATTTTACATTGCTATTTTTATTCACATGTTTTTCCATACAATAACTATTGATATCTTACTATTACTTATTCAAGTATACTGTGTTTGCTTTATTTTACGTTTAAATTATTATTTCAAATAATATTTACCTTCGAATATTTCAAAATATTTTTTAAGGCTTCCGTTAGTCACGTAATAACATGGCTTCTTGAATTCTCGTCTGCCAACATTTTCTACGAATATTTAGCATCATTATACATGCATATTATGTGTCACATTTTACATAGCACTTGCAGGAAATTTTATTAAAGATAAATATCATCATCTGGTTCTAGAAAAACAGTTTGCATAGCAATGTGATAATTGGAACTCGATCAATTTAATTCCTACAATTTATGCGAATCTTAAATATTGATAATCCTGTTTTAAAAAATATTTTTTTTTCCGATTCTATTTGTTTCTAATGACTTTTATTCCATTGCTGACACGTGCAAGCAGGATGTTGTTTTATTATGAGAAAGTGTAAGACCAATAGATGCTAAGATTAGCAACTAGTGGTTTAACTTCGTTAAAATTTCGTTGGTTGGCGCAAGAATCATTTTATACTGCACTTAGGTAACGATTGACTATTTATAAATGTAACTTTTTGGATTAAAAGCGTGACAGCGTTCATCAACCTGATCTGAATATATTTACACTTTAAGTGAATTCATCCATAATTTGTCCCATTTATATCTAAATGATGTTGTAATACTGCACTTAAACGTCTGACATTTAGTTATTTATTTTATTAAATGTTCTGTTTATAGGTAAAACTAATGAAACTTCTGCTGCTGCTACTGCTACTACTGCTATTACTGCTACTACTACTGCTGCTGCTGCTGCTGTTGTTGTTGTTGAAAAAACGAATGATAAAGACACTAAAGCCGTTACAACCCAAGAATCTCAAGATAAATCTGAGAGTTTGCCATCTAAAGTGTCAAGTCCGTCCTCTTCAGAGAAATCCAGTTCAGAGAAAATCGATCAAAAGTCCAATACAACCTCAAGTGTTTCTGAATCTAGACCACCTCCAACCTCATCAACAGGTTCGAGGTTTACTACAACCATTGTAACATCACCTACATCAAATAAGCCTGTATTAAGACGGAGACACACAACTGGACCAAGTATGGCTTTTCCAGCCACTGATCCACCAAATTATTCCAACAGTATGGTCTTTTCACGAACAAGTCCTTTGCCTAGTCCACATCTAGATAAAAGATTCTTTGATTCAAGTCTGATAGAGATGAAAAGTCAAGCTAGCAGTTCAAGTACTCTTGACTATGATTCTGCTGAAGAAATCTGGGTTCGAAGAGTTGATTTTTTGCAAGAACGGAAACGTAAAGTAAGTGAATTTATTATTTTTATTTTCTTCTCTAGTGAAATTTGCATTAAATTATAGCTATTGGGAATCACTTGGATGAATGAAAAACGATTGGCAAATGGCATCGATGCCTTTTTTATAGGTTGTGAATGAACGTAATGTGGATCAATAAGATTACTTGAGTGAATAATCTGAAATTTTATTGATTTTGAATCAATATATCAGATTCAAATGTTTGATTAAAAACATTTATATTATATTAATTTTTTTTATTAAATGATGATCTGATTGTTCCAATTAGTACATCCACTAATTCATTTTGCTTTCATTAATTTATTTAGTAATAATGAGTTTATCTGATCGAACATTCTTTCAGTATCTAAAAATTTTTATTATTATTATCATCAGAATTTTTTGTGATTATTATGCTAATTTTCTTTCAACAAAAATTAAAAATCCATAGTTGCGGTCAATGAAAAATATAAACATGTTAATTATACTCGTAATGATAAAAAATGGATGAGAGAAAAAATCTAATTAACTATCCAATGTTATGTATTTACTTGGTAACTATGATCATGACACAACTGTCAATTACACTGATCAACTAATTTCCACATAGAAAAATTACAAAGAGCTAATGTGCTTACTCTGAATGATTTACTGTCAATAGAAAAAGCAATTACTTCAACTAGAAATAAAAAAACTCTCTATGAAAATTTACTATTATTTTTAAAATTCTTGATCAAAATACTTAATATCTTTTACTACAAACATTTGTAATCTTCACTTTTGTTCGCAAAAATATTTAGGCTTTATATTTCCATTGAGTAAATAAAATTTAATAGTTTGGAATTGTTGAAAACATTTACAAGTAATTGATGTCATTACAGAAAAATTACATATGCTCTGTAGCTATTCGATTTTGAGAGAAACAAATGAATGTTAAAGTTAATTGAAGTCATACTTATGCAAATTTCCACTTAGACTGAAGGAAGTCATGGTCAAAATGATTCATCTGTTTATCTACTAGAATATTAAACGAGTTTGAAAAATTAGTTTTAACATTACAAATTTTACTCAATGGATCATTTAATTTGAAACATTCATCACTTTTTGCTGCTTGAAAAAAAAAAGTGTATTGAATATAATTATCACATGGTTGTTAATTTTTTAAATTATCAGTAACTATTTTTTTTATTAAAAAGATTGTTATTCTTTTTTTGACTTCAGTATCTCTAGAGTGATGATAAATTTGATGAGAGAAATTGCAAATTGTTTTAGGTTTAGACATGAATTGTTCATATAAATATAATAATTAAACTAGATATTATTACATGTTTAAATAATATTAAATAGCTTTGTGTTATCAAATGCGATAATAACAATGTGCTGCGGTCTTTCGGTAAATTTTTGAAACATGATTAAATCATTTAAATTGTGCATATCAAATAAAGTAGCAATTAATTATTAAAAACAATAACGTTATCGCTTGACACTTAATCTGATAACTTCAATTTTATTTACGTCATTTTAGAATTATAAATAAATTCGTTATCATAGTCCTTTAAAGTAATTTTATCAATTGATTTAAATAAAATTAATTTTTCAGAAAATAAATAAGTATTATTAACTCACAAATAATTAAAATCTATTATAGTAAAAAAAAAAAAAAGTATTTAAAATACAAAACGTGTTACCGTATAAAAGATAGTAATGTAGCTTATCAAAGTACAAAGTAGTTTATCATGTTTTTAAGGTACGTGAACAAATTTTCAAGATAAGTAAACTTTTTCTTATGTTAAACTTAATAGAGAAAATGTAGTGGTCATTTAAAATTTTAATTTAAATGAATCAAAATTTTGAAACAATCAAGTTATCGTAGATATTGTATTGGGTAGTGTAAATAAGCATTGATATCTATAAAATTAATCTAAAACATTCGGGGTGATATGGTCTGTCTTCAACTGTCTATACTTGTCAGGTCTCTATCACATAATCAGTTCTTGTTGAAACTCTGAATCACGTACGTTGATGTGTTAAACGTGTCACAGTTTTTTGTTTTAATAGTACAATTAATTTTATTGGTTACGTAAAATATTTATGTCTATTTACATAAATATTTTTTATTATTTTCTTCGACATATATGTTTTAAATAAAAATATTCAAAATTTATTATTCAATGCCTCCAAGTGCCGGACGTTGTCCGGATTATTCTGGGAAAAAGCGACGATATTCTCTTATAGCAGTTCCAAATAGGTCCTCAAAATATCGAGGTACCTATAAGGTCAGTTGTTAAAAATTCATCTATTTAAATGACCTATATAGCCAATATAATCAACACGACTTTTTGGATTTATTGATTTCAATCTCTTATTCATAAAGTATATTTAGATAAATCACGTGCTTTTCTCGGTGAACTTACGAGTCAGGTGATAATGTATTGTATCTACATGTCTTAATCAGATACATATTTTTACAGTGAATGTCAAGTGACGGAAGGAAAGATTAAAGATTAATCAAATATCATTGACTCAATTATTTTTGTACTATTTTTTTTAACAGGGAAATTATGGAAGCTATATGTTTAATTACTATTACTCGTTCACTCGTACATAATTAATTTTTTTTCTCTTTACTTGTACTATCAAGAAAATAGATAGGTAATTATAGATAGTTGATGAAAGAAAAATTGTAGAACGTAATGACTGTCAATTATTGCAATCAATCTCACTGATATAAGTATTCGGAGAATGATTACTGAGAAAGCTTGGAGGAAAATAAAAGTTTTACTTCACTTTAAATTTGATAAAAAAAAAAAAAAATATAAAAATTATTACCATTATATTTTTTTAGCAAATACTGATTTTATAAATCAAATATAAGTTGTTATAAGTTGTAGTGTTTAGTTTAGTAAAAAAAAAAAGTTATTTTTTCGTTTTTATAATCAATATTTATTTTAGACAATTTCTGAATTCAATATTTAGTTTGCTCAAATTTTGTAAACAACTTTTCGGTCACCCAATATGTTTGAATAAGCACGTATTCATGACCATTCTTAATATTCAAGTTCAATCTATTATCTAGATTCCAATTTCTAAAATTATTTTCTCAGTTGACTCTTTTCTTCCGTGAGTGAAGAATCGTTGCGAAATGCAATTTTAATTTCAATAGTTATTGAAATTAAATTTTATCAGGATGAGACAAGCTCACAAAAATGCACGAATAATTAGAAGAATAATAGAGGAATTTGAGGATGACGAAGATGGACAAGTATGTGTATATACGTGATCAATTAAGTCGTGATATGTATTTTCACTCAAAATATAAAGGAAGTTAGTGCGAAACTCGATAACCATTTTAACTATTTACAACAATTAGTATATCATCATCAACATATTACGTCATCTGTTCTCTTACATACTAGAATATCAGACACTCAATTTTGTTCATGTTATCTCTGAAGTTTAGCGTTTTAATTCAATAATTAACCAATCAATAATGCTAGAATGAATTAATTTCATTTTCTTTGAGTACCTTCTTGCATTAATATCAAGTTTACATAGATATATACAGTGATAATAAATATTAATTCACTTTAGATTTTACATTCACTAAATTTATCTAGTATTCATCAAAGTACTACTTTAAAATTCTTTACTATTTGAATATTTGCTCTTTGAACCAATTACGTAGTTAAAATTTGCTATTCTTATTCATCACATCTGATTGAGTATTTTTTTTTATTCCAGGAGCTTGGATCTCAACCGTTACCAACTACCGCACCAGAAGATGGTGATAATTCAAACCAGAGACCTGAGGGCTCTAGACCACGAGCAGGTGAGATTAGTATGAAATGTTTTAATTGCTTTTTTATTTTATCATTTTTTATTATCACATAAAAATAACTTTTTTAAACTAGTCTTACTTAACACTTGAGACAAATAACTATTTTATATTAGCTGAATGATTTTATTTTTACATTTAAACTGTGTGATGCAAGACTATTCTAATATTTCTCGATGAATTTGATGAATAATTGAAAGATAAACAATTTTATTCGTGTATTAATTGTTAAGATAAACAGTGACCCTGAAATACGCATAATAAAAGAATTAAAATCCAAGAATTGATTTATTAGTAGTCACTGAAGATAGAAATAATTGTTTTATTTTCTTATCATCATTTTGATTAACATGAAAATGATGAATTGAAAATCATGCTTTTATTTTTAACTTTTAAACATTGATAACAATTTAATAATTAATTTTCTTGATAATCTAGATTATTTTAAGCTTTACGTTTACTAATAATAAAATAGAATTATCTGTTTTCTACTAGAATGAATTAGATAATTATTAATACTTATTTTTGTTTTCAATATTACTAATTGCATTTACACAGAGAATGTCAATAATCAAGTATTAAAATTAATTGAGTGATTCTTTTACATTTTTCAATCAAATCATTTTATATGGAATAAAAATAAAGAGAGATACGAAAAAAAAATAATCCTAATTGATTACTTTTATTGATAAATGTTTGAAAATTGATTTATTAATGTAATTAAATTTTTTTAGGCACATGGAGTTCACATTCGAGAGCAATCAGGCCTCGAACTACAAGCAGTGCTCCAAGTTCTGGTAGCTCTACACCATTACCACAACAAGTTGAAGTAAAAAGTGCTGGTAGAAAAGTATCAGGTATTCGGGGTACTCGATCAACTTCCAATAGCCGTAGTAATAGTGTAGAACGTCGACGAAATGATGAAACAGTTAGTCCAACAAGGAGAAATGCATTTTTTGAAGCGTTACGACCGAGAAGCAAGTCTGATGCTAGTAAACCAAGGAAACCCAGTATTATTGCTAATGTTAAAGCACAGGTATTATATTTAAAACATTTTAAAATAAATCATCTAACTTACTAACGATTAACAAAGTCTTTCTATTACTAATTTTTCATTGTTTTGATAAACATTGATTGGTCAACTTCAGTTTCAGTTGTATCGGGGCGAAAGCTCCACTGCAAGTTCATCAAGTGATGTAAATACCGAAAGAGATTCTCAACGAAGTCGAAAAGACCATCATCAAGAAAGACGAGCGTCTTCATCTGATTGCATGAGAAATCCTGTTAGTAGAGTTATGGATCTCATTAGACGTAGTAAAAGTCCTACTACTGAAGAAAGGAAGAAAAGTGTAAGTTTCATTTATTCATCATCGTCCGAACTCTATTATCAATTTCATTTAGTAGATTATCTAGTTTATCATTCCTCGTTGGCACAAAAGGTAGTTATCATTCAACTTTATTTTACCAGCTGAGTTATTTGCTGGCTTCTTTGAAAAAATTTTAGAAAAAGAATAATATTATCAATCTTTGATGTCAATATTTATAAATAATCATGAATAATTAATTGAAATAATTTTTTACAAATTAATGTTTTTTTTTTATAAAAACATTTTTACTGTTATTACTAATAGTGTAGGAAGGTCATTTGTTGGGTTAACTTGAAATTATCTGGTATATTATTAGTTAAACGATAGTCAGCTATGTGCTAAATTAACGTAGAGACAGAGGAAGTATATATATTTCAACCTTAAATCACATTAATCTTACTTGTAGCTTACAGTTGCAAATCACTTAATCATTTTTTTTTTTAAGATGTTTGATAGATGTATGGATAGAAGATATTTTATAAATTCTTTCATTTTAAAGCATACAGTTTTAGATTATCATAAATTACATGATATTTTTCATTAAATTACGTACCACTGTGCTAATTTTTTTATCTTTGTTATCATTGGAAATATTTTTTGGCATAGTTTTTATTCTTAGTTGATAGTAAAAATTACCGCATTAGAATACGTCGTACAAGTGTCAAAGTCTAAGACTTATTTGAATGTTAGAAGAAAGCCTTATACTCTAATTATTACACGAAAGTGACGTATAAGTGTATGAAATAGTGGGAGAGAATACGCGTATCATCGCGGGCCGGTACAAATGTTCTTCACTCAGTGACTTGGCGTGATTCAGTTTCATAAGCTTTACATTTACATCTTCTCACTCTTCATACTTACCTGTATGACATATTGTTGTGTGTCAATGTGATATAATGAATAGTTTGGGCAATTACTTTATTACTTCGTGTCACATGAAAAAAAAAATTCTTTAATATTATCGGCAAGTTGAATGCGAGTTAATTTTTTTATCAACGTTATTCTATGCGACCTTGTGTTATGTTTCTTCATGTGATTACATATGTGACGATCGCGTATGCAATGTGATATCACAACACTCGTAAAATCCATCAACCTAGTTTTATTTACATATTTAATTTTGAAGGCTTCCCAATTAAAAAAAAAAGACCAGCAACAACAGCTTGATGTACTTTAATTGAAATATCTATTATGTGTGTTAATGTAGAATCTATTTGATTATTTAATAGATAATTTCCATTACGAATATAAGTGTAAATTGAAACTGTAGACTTGTTAATTTTTGAACTAGAAAAGATAATTCGTTATTCAAGCTTAACTATTGATTGGTGGGGTATTTAGACTAACTGGTTATTGTTGAATCAATTTCTTCGATTAATTTATTCATTCTTTTAAAAAAAAAAAATTTTTTATGCCATAATGTGTGCTGGATAAATTATTATCTATTTTTACTTACACATATAATTTGAATCATTTTATAATTACATTTGTTTTTTCAATGTAATTTATTATAATTGGAAATAATATTTTTGGCATCAAGTAATGATACAAAAAATTAGTTAGCATGAATACATGTTTTTGATGTAATTCTGATATAATCGTACATATGTTTGTCTGTGACGAAGTTTTTTGTTATATGTCACCTCACTAAAGATCATATGTCACACGAGGTTGCCGACAATGTAGAATTTACAATGGAAATTCATTTGAAAATGTCTACTTATTTTTAAAAATATCAAAGAAAAAAAAACTGAGATCAACATCATTCAACAAATTCTACAGATTATTAATTCATGTCTATTTCTCATGCCAAAATTTATAAACAAAAAAAAGTACAGTTCATGGCAATTTACTTTTCAATTAATCAATATTTCGATTAAGTAATTAATTGATGATATAAATAACGAATATAAAAACACATGCTCAAACAATTTATAAAATAAAGGTTAACGAGTGATCATATTTGAGTAGCATGAAAAGTCCCAAGGAGCATTGAGTGATTCAAATGAATTATTTGATATCTTTTACATACTTTTGATCTACCCCTACATTCTATTATTAAATTTATACAAAAAAACAAAACTTGATTATAAAATCATTATAGATCTGCTTTACACCTGCCACATATGTCAATAAGTGTTTTTTCTCATCAATCATTTGTTTCATCACGTATTAATTTTTTTCTGATGAGTGTTATTTTATTTCTTTATATCTTGATATCTTCTCTATATCATCATTAATTATTATAAATTTATTCATACATCACGTTAACTAAATTATTCTTGTCATTACTTTCCGTACTTTTTTTATGGGTTTATCTATTTTTTAAATTAACAAATCACTTAGAATCTTCATGTGATTATGTTTAGTTAACTATAAAATCTATTAATATATGAGATCTAGTAAACAATAATGGCGTAATTATTATGTTTTAAATTAATTTCTCAGACTTTGTCTCGATTATTCTCTTATTCAAATATTGAGAAGTGGATATAAATATTTTATGAAATTAAACAGTAATAAACTTTAATGGAATGATTCATTATTTGTTGAAGTTTTATCTTTAAAACGTGACATCTTTTTTTTTAAATAAAAGTTCACATGTAACTCATAAAAATTTAGTTTTCACAAAATTTAATGTGTATTTGCCTATTTTTAAATATAAATAAGTGATAGTGAAAGTGTTAAATTTAACGATGTCTTCATATTTTCGTTGGATCAAAAGTGGAAAAAAAGACGAATACTGTGGTTCCAAGCCACGAAGTCGATCTTTAGATTCCAAGAGTTTGGAAGCTTCTGGAATACGTCTGGTTTTACAACACGTAAATTGTTTATAATCTATATATTTACTCAGCCGTTTCATTCAATTTTCTAATAAATAATACATTATGCATAGTCATGAAATATTTATTATATTTATACATAATTATATGTTATTTTCATTATGTTTCAGAGAGCACCCGCACAGAATCAGTCTCAAGGTCATAATCAACCATCAACATCAGCATCATCATCATCATCTGCATCTACTTCACAGGGTAAGTACTTTACTTCTTATGTATCATTTTCAATGCGGATTTCAAGAGCTCTTAAAAACATTTTTTTTTTTTTCATTCATCAATTTTTTCTATCTAAAAATAGAAGTAATTATCATTTCTACACTTAATCACAATGATTGAATATTAAAGAATTTTAATTTTCAATGATACATAAAAATCAGTGAAGGTTTTATTATATTTCTCATTATTTACAATTTTTAATCAAGATTAAAAGCTGAAATTGTTTATTTACATTTTTGAATTTACAATAATAATAAATAAACAGATGGTAAATAGTACATTTACCGACAGAGTATTATAAGAATTGATTTGGTAGTTACACTGACAGTCAAATGTCGCCGTGTTTTAAAAGAGCATACTCTGCTTCTGCTTTCACGAGCAATACGAGGCAAATATGTGATAACTTTGGTACCTGCGCACAAATGTGTACGCTTGGAGACCTCGTGGTGAAGTTTAGCGAAGCTACTTCGATATTACGCTAAGCACGCCCCGGTTTTCGCAGATCAAATTGGACTCGGATACTTCAAAGTGTTTTATCAGCTCCCAGTGAGCAGTTGAATATTATTATTCTCAATACTGTTTTATAAATCTCAAAAGATACGGCATACTAGTGTACAGTGTTGATTACAAACATCATTGTCACTTTTACTTTCTATTTATTTATTTTTCTACTACTGAACATGTGATTGAGTATCGTGATCGCCATTTAAGACGCTCCTACCGGTTTGGGAATTTTTCTGTGTGTTTTGTTTATTTTCTTAGTTTCATTGCATCTTAATACTATTAGGGAATGTGTTATATCAAGAGAAAGTAAACAGGAAAGAAGTTTCATTTAATAATTGATAAAATTAGTGTTGAAAACAAAAAAAGAAATCATAATAAAACGATGCGTAGTAGAATTTAATAATGGTAGCTTTTTGGCAACAGTCAGTAAGCTTAAAGTGATTTACAAATTTAATACCGACATTGGAGTCGTTAATACTTCTAATGAATATTACAAGTGTCAAATAAAGACTCCTGTGGTCATCAAACTCATGTGTAAATAAAGCCATCGAGATCAATCGACACAATTAATCTAATTAAAGGTCTCAGCAATGAAGATATACCTACATAATAGTGATAAATGATTGATGCAAAGGAAGATTTTTAAATAGTTATTTGTTTTCTGCAGTGACATACTGGCATATATCACCTCTATCAGAAGTCTTTAATATTCCCAGGCACCAGAACGTTTCATACATTTAGTGCCCCAGTTTGATGATATTTTATTAAAATGCTCTATAATAGTTTATCATTAATATAAGATTATTGAAAGTGTCTATTCATTGGAACATTGAATAACATTATATCTTGTGATTTGAGTGGGTACTAAAAGAAATGGCACTAATAATGATAAATGGAAACATTTAAATCCTGTGAAACATAAAGTCATGAAATAGTGATGTAAAGATCAAGTTTTTTTTATATTTTGGATAATTTTTATTACTTGTTGATATTTTTATAGATAATCTTTTTTACTAAGCCATTTTTAGAGGTTAGTATGAATTCTATTTAAATAAAATATTATCTTCAATCATTTGGTGATCACAGAATATTTCATTGCTGAGTTTTGATTCTAAATTATTATTCTAACTTTAAATAGATATCGAATTATTTTCTCGTAAAGTGAAGTTATAGAAAGAATAATAAATTATCTGATTTAACCCATTATAGATCATTGCACTGAAGTAAATTTAATTTAAAGTTATTTCTTCCATCTTCTTTTATAGAAAATAATGTGTTTTAGAAGAAAAAAAAAAATAGGATTTAGTAAGATTGAACAAACTAAATTATATTAAAAGAAATCTGTTAAACCAGACAAATGCTAAGAGATTAAAATACAATGAAAAAATAACGTAGTAATTTTTTAAAAAATCATAGCATCAATAACTGTAGTATTAAAAATACCACAACTCTGAAAAAATCATTTACAGTAAAGAGAACATTTATTTGCCGTCAAACATAATTCTTTTGAGGGGAAAATTTTTTTTTTTTTTTACCCTGAAAATAAATTTTTTTTTGTGGAAATTTAAAGAGCTTTCAAATTGTTTTATAAAAATTGGAGTGACTTCAAATCAGACATGCAGACAGACAGCAGATAAATATTTTGATAGAAAAATTAGAGATGATAAAAAAATTTAAAGAAAAATATTTATTTTGCTATTTAAATAGAAATAATGTAAATAAATGATTAGTCATATGAACTAGAGTCTGATTTTTAGATTCTTTTTGCCAATTGTATAGACATACTTATACCTTCTCTGGTCATCAGAACCGGTTTATCCACTTCTATATAATTTTATTCATTTGTTACATAGTCACTGCCAGGTCAAGAACATTCTACTCATTTTTATCTCTGCATTGTTTAAATCTTTTGAATGTGATGTTTTTTTTTTTTTTCATTTTCATTATCAATTTTTCACTCAGGTAACTAGCCAATAGCTATCAGAAAGATGAAATATTGGACTTTTGTTATGATTGATAATGTTATCATCAAAATGCATTAGAAATATGTGAATATTGTATTGAAAGTAGAATTATTGTTTTTGTTTAGAAAATAACTAAGCAGTTTTAATTTTTATTTTTTATATTTTTTGTTCATATATCACGCCATTCTCTTATAAATATTAATAAGTATCTATTGAAATTCATTATCAATCCAAAGTACAGTATCGATTATTAACTCGGTAATGAACAAGTCGTAAACAATAAACAATATTTACTGTGGTTATTTCAAGATATGCTGTGTAATCATCAGTCTATTTCTAATAATAACCATCATTTTCATGACAATTTATCATTGTTGTTTTTTTTGTAATTATTTTCGTTTTGTAGGGAAAAATATTTCCTTAAAAACAAATCATTAAAAAATATCCAGAAAAACAATCCAATTCTAATTTATTGCATAAATTATTTGTTGAATATTATCATCATAAATCAATAAATAAATTCACTAATCGTTCCATAAAGCATACAATATATTATTGAATAATTCAATAGAAAACTTCCATTACTATCAATGATTTGTTTGTCAATTGAAAGTAAGAGATTGATGTCCTTGCTAGCTGGATATCATCGACTTTCCAATCAATCTTTTTATTGTGCACAATTAGTCTTAAGTTCAAAACATCTTTATTAAGTCAATAGTATCCTTGAATACCTTATACGATTCTTAATATTTTATTCATTGATCATAAATTCGTGCTTTATATATACTATCAACTTTTGTCATTATGTAATGCCGAAATTTTATCATTTATTCAGTATGGAGTATGATTTTATTTATATATAACACGTGTGGTTTTTCTTATCATTTCCCAAGTTCTTTTATCTTCTGACACTCTTTTGAAAACCAAATGTCTCTTTAAAAATAATATTTTGATTCTATACAACGAAAATACTCCAATATTTTGATAAAAATTTTTAATAAGAAATAATATTTATATTTCAAATTTTTTATTATTACTGTTTATAATTTTAAATTTAATTATAAAGTACATCAAACAGAAAGTAATCATTAAAATTTCTGTCAAAGAATATTGACATTTGCCAAGATGTTTTTCCTTATTATTCAATTATCCAATCAGTGCTAGAAGTTGAAGATAATTTATTTAATTGCAAACATTAGTTAGAAAATCATGATGTTTATCAGAGCAATTTGTAAGTATTGTGTAGCTTAATTATAAAATCACTTAGTAAAATAATATTAATTATGATCAACAATGACCAGGAGATGATTTATGATCAAGTTAAAAAATAGATTAAATAATTATGACTTATAAATAATAATGAATATTGAATATACCATTTGTTATAAAAATCCTGTTCAAGTTATCAAAACTTTTTGTATTAACTTTTATTATTCTTATCCATTTATAACAGTTTCTCAGTAATCAAGTTCATATGAGACTGCTTCTCACATGAGATACTGTTCTCTGTATGTAATATGATTTGTAGAAACACTAAAGCAATGACGCTGCAACGTTAAGCAGGTCATGAATCGTTCTATTTCTATGAATAAATTATACGTTTGAATGAATTGATTTCTTCTGTTAACTTTTAGAATTAAACTTGTTTGATTATTAAATACTCTCTTATCTACAGTTTACATTAAATTGACCTTTCGTTATTAATGTATGCAAGGATGCAGGGAAATATTTGTTAAAAGTGCATTAGAGACTAATATCAATCTATAAATAATTAATTAATTAATTAAAAATCTGTAGATGGAATTGGAGTTTAATAATTTTTTTTTATAATTAATCAAGTAATAATTATTATTAGTTAAGAGATAAACTGAAAATAATCATTTTCAAATCCTATTTAAATGGAGAATCTATTGGCCGGAAGTTTCTCTGATTTATTTTATGATGTTCGGAAATGATTTTTTCTTCAAACTTACATGAAGCTTCTGAGGCTCGAGCTTTTTTTATTAACATGCCTAATCAATAATTAATATGTTTAATTAATTAGTTAGAAATTCTTTAACAAATACTCTTTTTAACGTACTTTTTATTATATGATGATAATGATTATTTTCTAAATGAGATATTTAATTCTAAGTGAGTTCATTGTGTCTGTATTAAATATTTATTTATTTATTTATGCCCACAATGATTATTATCATTTTCAGTAAAAAAACATTTATGATAAAAGTTTTAATGTCTCGTTAGTTGATATCTAAGTGAATATTACTCATTATTGAGTCTACAGTAAATTTTTATCTCTTTCTTTTTAGCAATAAGCAATATTGTTGCTTAGCATCAGCAAGTTCATATCTTATCAGTTGTTTTGTTGTAAGAGAATTATGTAAGTTAGCAATTTAATATGTTAAAAAAATCAGTAGTTGAATAGGCCTGTAATGTGTACTTGAGATGTTTTATGTCATGAAAAGTCATCTGTAATTAATGAATATTATGAGTTTTAGAGATTTAGAAATT